GCTTTACACAGACAGCACTAGAGCTGAGTGTTATGTATTTAAAATATAATCTTGATTTTATGCATTTACATCATTAAAAAAGCTTTTCAAAACTCTTTCTGCGAGGTCTTTAACTTTTCTTAATGACACTGAGCATATTTGTATACATATTTGTATTGTGTGTGTTTCATGGTATGAAAAATTCTTCTACGTATATAAAAGCAATCTCTTTTGCAAATGGAGCAATTTTCACCAAACCTTGAACTACAAAATTTTGGTAGTTTGAACGTTTGGTGATGCCTGGAACTTTCAAAAACTCAGAAAAAACAACAAAAAATCGCGCGGACATTTTCTGATTTTGGACATTTTCAGCAATACTAGGACTTCTGGCCAATTGTTTTGGACAATCTGTAAATTTGACCAATATTCTTCAAATTTAATAATATTTAGAAAAAGTAACGCAAAGTTTACTTTTAGAATTTTATAAATTTTATAAAAATTGCATTTAGTTTACAAAAGGACTGGAACCATTGAGCTCTTTAAGACCTGGAGGAGAAAAGGGGCCTGGACCCCGTGGTCAAAAACATGGCGGTAATGGCGGATTTTGGTGGTCAAAATTTCCACTTTAAAAATTTTTTTCAATATTCACTCCCTCCTGATTTCTAATACTGTTTCTATGAACGAAAACAAGTGAGAAAAAAAAAACAATTACGATACCGACACCATATCACCTGAAAATAATGCTTCAGCATTGCGTGAAAAACACAGTACAGACACACATCAAAATAAAGAAAATCGACGGTAGAGAAACGCATATTTTGGATGTAACATTTAAGTTATGTTATGACATTTTAACCTTTTAAAAGTGAAAATCAAACGGCATTCTTTAGTAGACCTGTCAATATCGTCAAACTTATACATTATTTCATGCTTCTGTGTGTTTACTGTTTCTAAACACTTTGGTGCAACTATTTTTCTTGCTCAAATGGATAAATCTGTGTTAAAATGCTCCTAAGGAAGCGAGAAAATGTTTGCTTCAGTCCTACGAAATAAGTCAACTGAAAATTTACCATGGATAAGTATCATAAGTGTATTGTCATTACCTGATAAATCTACTGAAAACTCATAAAGAAAGTATGTTGAACTAGAAGAGCTACAAAAAAGAAAAAATTCAAAACACCATGACACTGTTGCTTGGTAATTTGTATTTTGTAAACAGCTTGGCAGAATCTTGGATCTATTACTGAACAGAACTACATTAATTTTCCATTGAAATTACAAACTTGGAAACTAAAGTGCATTGGTTTCTCTGACAAAAACACTGTCTATTGCTGCATGAACGCAAAATAGTTATTTGACAGTGTAGGTGAAGAAATTTATAAAGTTCTATAGATATTATTGTGCATTACTTACAGTTTTTTGGAATTATGTAATATATGTCAAAACAAGAAATAATTTTTCAAAATGCTAACCCCTTCGAGCACTACTACTCTTCTGTTTTGCTTAAACAACTTACAGCTACCAATACGAATTATTTATATGTACAAACTAACATTTGGAATTAAATGATAAACAACTTGTTAAATCTTTGTATTTTACATCAAGCCTTTGAATTATCTCTTGGTAAAAAAATATTAATGAAAGACTTACAAATCGAGTTTCTCGAAAATAGTATTTTGTACAAAGAAACTAAATAATTGGAAAGGTCACATGTTGAAGACAGACCTTGCTTCTTTGACTAGGTTGCTTGACCATGAGCAAATTTAAATTTGTTTACAATTTGTTTAAAGAATTCTTTTTATTGATTTCTACTAATTCTTCATAAGACACAAAGAATTTCTTTGCCATCTATTTTTGCTTCTTCTACATTCAACTTCATTGTAACCAATGCATCTGATGTGAATTTGTGGATCACCTGGAATCATACCAAGTATGGATTTAATGAGATGAGACAAAAATATGTTTCATTTTTCATGCATATTAATGATATAATCATAAGCTACTGTTGAAAAAAAATTTCAAGGTAGAAACAAATCTTAGCACATTGCTCAACACACTGCTTTTATCTTGGTTTTGAAGTAGTAACCTGTTTACTATAACAATAAATACTTTATTTTTCGAAACGCTAAGTAGTACTTTAAAATTGTTTGCATAAATCCAACTTTCCAATCCCATTATAATTGTCTACACTATACAGTCAGTCAAATTGAGCAGGCAAACAGTTTAATAGTTATTTTTATTATACAACATTTACCATAGTTCTCATTAATTTTGCATGGCACTGCATTCAATTTCAACACAACTCTGTTGTAAACTTTCCCTTCATCTTTTCAAAAAAAAAAACATGAACAAATTATGCCCTATTTTTGAGAGGTAAACTCAATTCAAATCAGGAGAGTTTAGCTTGATGCCTTGATCATGATACAAGATGGATGCAAAACTCGATAAAAATTGACAGCTTCGACACGTCTGGCGAGCGATTAAGTGAAGAACAAACAAGACTGGACCAAAATAACTTTAAATTAAAACTTAGTAGTAGAAACACTCTTCAAGTATCGTGTTAAAAACAAAATAGTAAAACTAATACTGTGCTACTTACCGGAGTCAAGAAATGTTCCCTTTTCTGTCGCTATTTCAGCATCCGCAAACCACAGAAGTTAAAAAAGTGTTTATGTTAGGAAAATAGTTTTGATAATTTCTATACTCGCAATCGTGGTGGTCAAATCAGGGTGGGCGACAAAAATTTTATTTCATGAGCCCGCGTCTCTCCGCTGACTTTGACCACCAAAATCCGCCATGTTTTTGACCACGCGGCAGCGCGCTGATAATTTATAGTAATTTTGTTGACGTTTCCCCTCCAGGTCTTATAGAACTCAATGACTGGAACGACCTGCATGGCTGCCATCATCTGGCTTCAATCCCCCCCCTGACTTATCGTTCCAGTTATTATTACAGTTCTATAGCCTTAGATTAGTCAAAATGGGGAAAACCACTGCTTTTTGACTATTTCACGGGCGCAATGTGCAATATCTGATCGGCGTTTGAATCAGCAACTGGAGCGTGAATCAATTGCATTCCTAATGAATACGTCATTGGAATTCAGGGGCCGGTTGCACGAAGCCTGGAAAACGTTATCCATTGGATAGCAAAAATTTTCAAACATGTAAAATTTATAAGCAAAGAAAATTTTTAAGCTTCGAAAGAATATTTTATTTCAGCGATTGCTCAGTTCAAATCTTATATTTTTTGCTTGTTAAAAGTTTAAAAAAATTGCTATCCAATGGATAACGCTATCCAGGTTTCGTGCGACTGGCCCCAGCTGTTCAATAATTTAAAACTTTAATAGTAAATTTTTTGAAGCAGACTTTTTAAGCGTTAGTCGCGTGACTAATCTGACTACCCCTAGATCCGCTCCTGCTGACTATAGACAACGGCATACGTTAGAAAGTTGGTATATCATGCAACTTAGAACAAAACCCACTGAAGAGATCAGAACAATTACCGGCACCTTACAAACGACTTATTCACAACCTTAAACAAACGAAAAATTAAGCACATTTTTGTAAACTAATCCACAACAATACACAACTGACACCAACAAAATTCCCCTGCACGCAATACGGTGACGTAAGTACCTGAAGATGTCTACCGCTTTGGTTGTCGAAACGTCAGTCAACATCAATTTCAACAGGCCATGTACATCTACAAACATGTAAGTTGATTTATGAATGTATTTTCAACTACACAATACCTTTAACAATATATGTGTAGTTTACGACAACAGACAGGCCCCTCTGTTACAAATTCATTTTATCTTGCATATTTTATCTATTTCTTTTACAAAAAAGTATAATGCACATTTCTTCTTGTACATTTGAAATTTTTATCACCTATACAGCAGTATTTAATAATACGAATTGCTTTCAGAACGTGAAAATAGGCAAATTAAAGCCACCATCGAGCAATTTTTTATTGTCACGTGATCAATCTTCCAGACAAAGTGAAAAACCTGTAACTTTCATTTGGCAGTTATAAATACTTTCATAGTCTGAAAAGTTATAATTGCATTCGAACATCAAACACATAATCACATACAGTAGAACCTGTATTAAGCGGTCACCCTGCGTTAAGCGGTCATATGGCAAAGTCCCGAAAATAAAAATAATAATATAAATACTATTAAAGTGACCTTTATTAAACGGTCACCTCTATTAAGCCGACGCGGTGACCTTTTCCAATGTCCCAAACGTAATTTTATGAAACTGTATTAAACGGTCAGGTTAAGTAAATATACCACATGATAAAATACATAATTAAATATTTTTTCTGGAACATATCACTTATATCGTATACATGTCTTTATCATGTATTTATCTTCCGTAATGACTCAAAAGAGCAAGCAATATTTTCTGTTTGTGTGGACGAATTGCACCAGCAATCTGAACTTTCCTTACGTCCCTTCAGCCATTGACAAGAAAACGTATCTCCAGGAAAGGGATATACACACGGAATTTACAAGTTGTATTGCCACCTTCAAAGTTCACACGCTTGCCATTGATTATTTTTCAGCAGTTTGAGCCGTGACATTTTTATGTATACTATTTTTAATTTTTATTTCAAACTAAGAAAAATTGCTTTATATAGTGTTGTTATTTGGCATATATGCTAAGGAGCAATACCGATTGGTTGTATGAAATATTACATGTACTCCGCCTGGTGATTTTCCTAAAGACCTGTATTAAGCTAAGCGGTGAACCTGTATTAAACGGTCACACGAGAAATCCCCAAGGGTGACCGCCTAATACAGGTTCTACTGTATTAGGAATATGAAAAGTTTATAAGTGCTTCTGACACGAATTTCTTATCACCTTAAACGAAAGATATATAAAAATATAAAGCGCGTTTCTTGAAACTTTGAAACTTTTGTAGAATGTAAAGGAAGAATTCATGCACAACACTGAAATATTTTATACAAAACACAACCATGTTTGTGGTTTAAAGCAATCAAAGTCATCACGATGTGTTGATCAGAAAATAATTGATCATAATTTTTTTATTGCCACAATAATAAAAGTAATAACAGTTTTAAAACCAAACTTGTGGCAAAGGAAGCTCATTATAGTCAAAGAATATCTTTTATTTAAGACAATGAAAATTTCGAATCAACTGTGTAGGAATTCAATAAACATATGCCAAAGAAATGTAATATTGTATTATGCAATATGGAGTTGCTCTTAAAAAAACATGGAAGCAGAACACTTCGCCAACTTTCACGTGATTAAGAACAAAGAAATGAATCGAACATCTTAATCAATCAAGAACTATAACACAAGGTTTATAAGCATGACCCTGACTGCTTTTGTCCGTGGGTTCGGATGTTGTTTGAATAGCTTTGAAATTTTTGCTAACTGCTCGTTGGTGTTGACCTCATTCTTACATCCGTTATGTTCATTAACATTTGCAGTATTAACAGCTTCTGTTCGTGACCTTTTACGAGAATCATGGCTATTCAAACCTCTTTTAGATTTTCTTCGCTTTCTTTTTTGGTTTTCGTGTGTCTAAATGCGAAAAAATAAAACCGTTAAAAAGCAGCTGATTTACAGTTTAATTACCCATGGACGTTAAACGTCAAATCATGTGTTATGTATAATAGCTTCGAGTGCAATTGCGTGTAAAAATGCACGAGTGAGTTTTTTAAAGACTGCAGCAAAATAACGCGAGTCCTTAAAAATTGCAGTCTTTACTAAACTCACGGGTGCATTTTTAGCTATAATTGCAAGAGAAACTATACTATTGCCTAACAATAATATACTTTGAGGTATTTCATGATTGTACCGTCTAACTCTGTCTCGCTTCGTTACTCTCTATCGCTTCAGAAAGCCACGTTACGAAGCTCAACTGTTGAAAATATTGAGCCAAAAACATTACTTGCTGTTTTGTTTTTATGATTACCATTATTTTGTAATTCTTGAATTTCAAACGATTGCAATTGTGGAAATGTTCATTTAATTACAACTGCCACCGAGTTTTTTCTTTGAATTGAAAAAAGTTTGTTTGCCTTTCACTGCTTTTTAGCTAATCAGGAAACAGTACTTACAGTGCAATTACATTTTCCTACCCAGCCGTGCAATTAAAGCTTTTCAACAATGCAATTACACATTTTCACAGTGCAATTACAGATTACAGATAAATTGCACTGCAATCAACCCTCACACACGACCTAACTGAAATAGAAATAAAACATTTTGACGCAAAATATTTTCAAATTTATTATTAATCTAAGGTCAATAGTGCTTGCGATGACACGTTGTTAAGGCTCGTTCACACGATCCAATTTGTCGGATCCTTAAAACGAATCGTGTGAACACATATAAAGTGAGCTTTCGACAGTCGGATCCGTCAATCTAAAAAATAAGATGGAAATAGAGCTTGCTCTATTTTCATCCGACAAGATCAAAGGAAGCCTATTAGCAAAATTTCATAGATTTGAAGGACTTGGAAACAAGAACAAAAATACGAAAAACATATCGATAAACGTACTGGATAACAGAAATGTCTGTTCTAACGACTATAAACATCTAAACGAATATGAAAAAGTATCGGACCGTCTCAAGAAGAAACTATCGAAACAACCAGATCCCACAAATCGGATCGTGTGAACAGGCCTTTAGATAGAAAGAAACCTCTAAACATAACAAAATAAACCTCGCCATCGCAATATTAAGAGTTAGAGGAACACACATGTAGAATTTCTTTACCTATTATTCAAATCACCCAATCATTACCATACGTATGAAACCACCTAGATTGCTGAACAGAAAGAGGTGGTTCTAAGGGGTACGACTGTACCGTGCAATTTTGCTGAAAAGCGGGGGAAGGGGCAGGGCAACACTCCCCTTACGATAGTAACTTCTATAGTTATTTACAGTTGATTAAAGTGTTATAAAATGCTTGTGTTAGGTTTTATCACTGAACTATATACATGGAGAGCGCATCTATTATATATTATGATACCAAAATTGAAGCTATGAAAACAAGATGAAGTGCCATTATGTGTTGTTCATCATCAATGTTGAGAATATTTCACTCTCCGTATGCATAAATAGAGAAACATAATGCCGTAGCACTCCAGCATCTACATCTCTGTATAGCCTCTCAACACGCACATTATGTACAGATCTGCCAGTGAGGATACTACCACAGTTCGTCCCTCTGTGATGCAACATAAATCTGGCTGCATACACGTTTTCTAAGCCGTGATCTGTTCTTATCTTTAAGGTAAGACCATATTTAGCCATACCTTCTTGAAAAAATGAAAGAACAGTGGATGCAAGGTTGTTGTCAGCGCAAGTTAAATGGATTATCATACGGCCAAAACCATCAATACATGCGTGTACAACAAATGTCCAATGGATCATTTTGTGATTCCCATCCAAGTACCATATATATAGTTAAGATAAGGAACACTGTATTTTCTTCCACATATGGCTACGTGGCGACGCAAAGCTGTTTTAACTGGGTCTACTAGTCGTAGACATTTTCGAGCTCTCCACCATTGGATTCGAAGTCCTCTGCGGCGAAGAACCTCAAGCATGCGCGGCTGCCCAATATTTTGGGTTAAATTGCGTATATTTTGAATTATGCGGCATAGTTCCTCGTCCGACAAACGAAGAAAAGTTTTCCAAAGTAATGTCAAGGCCATTTCTTCTTCTGCGTAATGTTCGCTCCGAATTTCCAAATTTTTTTGCTATTTTCGCCCAGGTAAAATGCTTGGACCTAAGAAATACAATCTGGTCTTCGTTGATTTAATAGTGAGGACGTCCTCCATTTATATTAGTGCTTTGTGACATTTGAGGAACAATATGATGAACGTTGAGTTTTTCCCTATTTTGTAGATTCTCCGCTTCGTTCTTTACTTCAGTTTTAATTTGAATTAGAACGGCAAGAAGATCAAATATATTTGACCACAAATGACCATCGGCAATATCCATGGTATTAAGAATTACAATGAAAGTCCCACAAACATCGTCCATGCGTGCTCCAAGATTCTCCAGCACATCAAATGATGCTACTGGGTTGTTCAAAAATACTTTGGATTTGTGCAACGACTGATTTTGCAGTAAAAAAAACCCTGAAAAACCGTTTTCAGAGTTTGGAGACGCCATATTTGTATAAAAAGGTTTACATAAATTATACAAACAAGGCCGCAAAGGACCATAATTAGAAAGAATTTATGTGCAATTGGAACGTATTTTTGAAAACAATTCCAACTCATTTTTGCGCAGTTGTAATGAATTTTTCAAAGTTCATCCAAATTTATTTAGCAATTATTTATTTTAAATTAGAACGAATATTGGCAACTTGAAACGAATATTTACCTCTCGGATCGAATATTTGGAGCAGAGAACAAATACTTGTTATTTAGAACGATTATTTGCAACTTGAAAGGAATATTTACTGCTTAGATCGAATATTTGTAACATAGCAGTTTTGTCTGCTTCGGCGCCTCATATACAACAACATAAAATGGCCTGACGACTATCTTGAAAGACATGTAGTTAAAAAGCATAACAGATTTTACATGGTAAAAACCATAGAAATGGCTATTCGTCTTCAAGGTGCAAACAGAAAAAATGATTTTTGTATGAAGAGAAAATAGTTACTGTCACAATGTCACAACCCAAATTGGTGGAGATGGTCACTTGACACACAATACATATTTCCTTGAAAGGAAACGCCATATTACTAAGCTCTAAAACGTACCACAGTGCCGCCTACACTTTCTTCTTTTCGAACGTAAGACGAGAATAACACACATGAAGCACCATCCAACACGTCTTCGGATGACGATCCAGGCACTAGGTATGATATGGTTGCGTATGGCGTGAAATGAAAATCCTCGCGCAAAACACCAGTAAGCAACAGATGAACGATAAAACGTTGGCATTGAATTACAGAGCAATTTGGTTTTGGTAAATGATTCAAGCATAATTTTCCTCTTCTGTTCCATGCCTCGATTAACTTAAGCATGGTTAATCTATGGTTCATATCCTGGGCATGTTTCAGTATTTTCAAAACAGTTTGAGCTTCCGACGTCCAGTTGATCGGGATAGGCGCACTGGAATTCTCTAAAAGTAAAAAAGCTTACAATTTTTCACGTCTAATGATAACGTTTCTAAACAATGAGTACATTTCATCATTAAGACAAACATAAAACTTTGGCAGAGATAACATTCACTGTACGGCAAAATCTATCTTTGGATTCTATTGTAAAAGCAAATGTTTCATGTTTTACAAGAAAATCTACCCGTATAGAAGAAACAGCTGTCGTCCATTGCGTTAAAATTTTGTCTCTTTTTAATTTCAGATTGACATGACCATATGAAAAGGACCACAAGTATAGCTATGACGTCATTCACAAGTAGATGAAAACATGGAACATTGTTAGAGATTTCTTTGGATTGAAATTGTTAATTTTATGACGCATTTAGCCCATTTACAAGGACGTTTGTTTTGTTTAAAGTCAACGAGATTTTAGCGAGTGCTTTTGACTTTGTCTTTGTAGTTTGCTTTCATGTTGACATTACAGTGTTTTTTGGCTTTGTCTTCAGTTTTGAAAAGTTAAGCAAGTAGATAAAGAAATAAAGACGTAGGGTACAGTAAAGACAAATATAAAATAAACAGAAATATAGCCATACTCATCATCTATTCACTTCTTAAGCCAAAGTCCAAAAAAACACAATTACATCAACACAACTTTTAAACCCCAACCCCCCCCCCCACAACAATAACATTATTTATAATGACAACAAACTTAAACATGGCAAAGTATTTTATCTCATTCAATAATTGTAATCCATCGCTCATATAGCCAATCATGCAGACTATATAAAAATCCATATAGGAAACATAATACTTAAACAATGCTTAATGCACCAAGTTAAAAGCTCAATGAAATTAATAATTTCAATCCAGGGCATTTAATCACTACATTGATGAAACAGGGGCGGATCCAGTTATTTTCGTGACTGTTGGCAAATCTATTGACAGAGGCGTAACTAGAACATTAATTGGGGGAGGGGTGTATATTCATATATTCAGTTGTGTTAACTTTACTTATGTTATTGCTTATTAGTTGTTCGCAGTTTAGAAAAGTCTTATCTGCAAACTGCAATGTCGTCGCTTCTTTTCAAAACGAATCTTGTATTCTTGGTGCAAATGATTTGCACATTGCTCTTCAAGCTATTTTGACGTTTCAATCATATTACCTTATAATATGATTTTGCTTCGCTGCGAAATAACTCTTCAATTTTCACTAAAACTGTGGCCATATGTCTCTGTGCTAGTTGCAAAAGACGTCCATTGAAGCATAAACAGAACAATTGTGTGCTCTTTAGTACATCGTAGAGCTTATCACATTTTTTGCGTATTGATTAAGATTTCGCCTTAATTCAGGGGAAACTCTTGCCCACTGTTTCCAAACTGTTGTCATCTAATTACAATAGCGACTTTCGATTCGCTGGCAACCCTTGACCGTTGCCCACTATGCTAAATTTAGAAACAAAAAGGCCGCTGACTGTTGCCCAAAAATCGTGTTTTCTACGAACTCCTTCCGAAACCTAAAAAGGTGTTCGGTATATACTCGTGCAAATAGCATTAAATGAGTATTATGACAAGTTCTTCAGAATGCTCAATTTCTTATTAAATTGGTGCCTACAATAGATGATAAGCCAAATGCAATCCAGCAAAAAACATGAGCGTGTTGTTGCAACAAGAGAAGATGTACCTACAAATTAAAATGCTTTTTGGCAAAGTGCGGTCGAACTGTAAGTCGCCCAAACACCTATAAAAACGCCACATATATGCATCATCATTCAGCAAAACTTACTTTTTTGAGAACTTTTACAGTTGTCGCACCAGTGATTGCATTTATATGTCTTCCATTCTTCTCCAAAATGCTGACTAATCAATAAACGGCGACACGATGATTCATCTTGACAATACGCGAGCATGTTGTAAACGTTTTTTAATCCTGTCTGTTCAGCGAAAACCTATCCGAAGAAAATCACTTCACGTAAAATTTTCAAAATAACGAATAAACAGGCTTATTTTCATTAAAAGATCATCGTATAACTCGTTTACACCTGAATAGTGCAGATTTGTCGTGAAAGATGTAAAAAGACAGTGTCGTAGTACATATATTCAATTAAATCAGTGGTAATAATAGAGGTCGTTCTTGTCGTGCTTCACGATCAAATATTTTTTATTTTCAATCTTTCAATACGTGTTAATAATTTCAACATATAATAAAAAGAAAAATCTGCATTCTTTGCTTTATTGACAAAACTTCATACTACATATTAAATAGGAAAATTTTATCTTAAAATACAGTTTACTATCTTAACAACATTTGCAATATATTTTATAAGACGAAAATTTGATCTTCCTTGACTTTTTTGGGCGTCAAGGTAAGCTTTTTTCTTGTTTGACCGTGAGGTGCTGTGACTGGGTCTGGTTTACCGACGTAAAGTACATTGGAGAACACGCTGCTTTTTAACGCTATATTAAAATTACAATGTTATTAAAAAACAAAGTGCACAATATAACTCAAGTTAAATAAAAAATAAAATTTGCTCCAAATTTTACTATGAACAAAATTATTCAAAATAGGTACGCAATGCGTACATGGTATCCTGTCAAGTGCATGGCTAGTAAACGAAGTAGATTTAATGAACGTTTATGGTTCAATGTAATTATTTCATGTGAGTGTACATCATTAATATGCCTTTTTCGCCCACAAACTTTTAACACAACATCAAATTTATCCCACGACAAGGCGAATTGTAAAACACAAATGGAAAACGCCAAACTGAATTCAAATTTTTTCGAAACGGTAAGCTAATAGTTGAGGTTTGCCGTTAGCCGTAAACGCCAAACTAAAGCTTTCTATTACTGATAGACGTTATCGCCTGCGAGCCGGCATTTGAATAGTATCATGACTTTAAGTTATTAGTTTCTTACGAAGTTTATAAAGAGTAAGATTATTCCTTAGTACAATCGATCAGTGGAGCTAGTGTTTCGTTCCGCTTGAATAGATGACACAGGCGATATCATACAAGTCAACTTATTAAGCAGCGATGGTTTTAGTTAACATTTCTCAAGATAAGAATATTTTCTTATGGTTATGAGTCTGTGTTCATTGCAAATAACTTCTGCTTGATCTTTCAAAGGCGGACAGACGCTTCACAGTTAACACATAGCAAACGCATTACATTTATACTATGGTTTCATTTTTAATGTCTGATTGACCTTACGCACAGTACACTTTTACCGTAAAACTTCGATCAAAAAGCACAATTGAGCAAATTTAGTTACTCAATGATAAAATGCACTTTAAATAGTTTGAATACACCAATTTTAGTAATTCCTCACGAGGAAATCGCTCAGGATCAATAGACAGAATTGAAATCAAATGACGAGTTGTTTAGCAATAGCAAAACAAATTGCGATATTTATCCGACAGGCGACAAACCGACGAACGCACTAAGGGGCTGTTCATATGAGCCCAGTAACCGATGAAAGGAGTAAAAACGAAAGGAGCAAAAATGAAAGGAACGAAAACTTCAAGCTTAAAAATTACAACTGTTTGTTAAGTGCAACAAGTCATTCCTGTTGAAATTCTTAAATTAGGCAAAACTGGCAGTTTCAATTTTCAATATTTTGTGTAATTATTAAATTATAATATTGTGAAATTTCTCAAGAAGATTTATCTTATGATAAGTATAGAATCGTTTCCATAAGCCAAAATCATTTTATCATCCCCTAAACGGTGTTATTCGTCATTGTTCGTATGTCCGACTATCCCCGAGGATAACGAAACTCAGAAAACTGAACGTCAAACACGTCACGTCCGGTGAATTAGACTCAGTAACAGCACCTCACGGTCAAACACAAAAAAAGCCAACTTTGAGACCCAAAAATCCAGGGAGGATCAAATTTTCATCTAATAAAATATATTGCAAATGTTCTTAAAACGTTAAACTCAATCTAAATAGGTTACTTCCCTGAGGGTGATATAGGTACTTTAAAACTATATGGAAACCCGCGCTGATAGGCGCAAGACAACCTCACGAGGCTATTAATATGGCCTCAAGAGGTTTAGTTAAAATGCCTCGGGCTGCACCCTCGGTTTACGGGACATTTATCCCTGAAAGCATGCGTTAACTTATAATAATTGCATTGTTGCAAATAAGCGACGAAACCTTAAATGTTTAAATACGTTAGCAATAGCGGTTGTACAGAGGAAAATGTGAGATGTAAAAATCTAAATAAATGGATGGTTTGAAGGCGTTAAAAATGTCACGAAAAACAAAAGTCATGAAAAATTGCGATTTGGAAGCAGGGCTTTTGAGGAGGCGTTGGTAAAACTGTAACTTCATATTACCTTGAAAAATTAACAATTGAAATAATTAAAAGCAATAAATTCCAATCGCGTTTTTCAAGTGTTGGCACCAAAGTGCTTCTCAAAAGTGCATCTTGGTAACAAAATTCTCATCCTAAAATCATTATTATTTTTGACAAATTTCATGTCGAACCATTAGAAGCTCAGCTGTACAAATTTACAGCAAAAACGTTAACAGACATTTCACGTGCTGGTTAATAAAGAGACGTTTCACCAATTTTAAAGTTTTTTACTACATTATATTTTCGATGAGATGTGATGCAAATAAAAAATGGATAGTGATGCTGAATGCTCATCTTGGTTGAGTTATTCGCCCAGACTACCCGCATAACTTTTTTTCAATATTTTCTCAGAGATTTATTCTATTGTATAATTTAAGGAAAACTAACGAATATGAAACGCAGATTTTGAAGAAAGGTGTGATTTCTATATGTAATGTCTCTTCTTGAACGTCAACCTATAGAAGGATCAGTTGTTTTTCTTTAGCGGCGCCATGTCTTTATTTAAATGATCACGAAATCTATAATAAACCTCGCACCTGCCGCAAAAAATGTATAAATTACCATAGTGCTTTGTCTGCTGGCGTCGGTAGGATGATAGTACAATATGCAATCAGCTCGTTTGCCGTCCCTGCCAGCTCTGCCACTCTCTTGATAATAATTTTCCATTGACTTACTCATCGTGTGGTGGATGACGAAGCGAACGTTGGGCTTGTTGATACCCATGCCAAACGCTACTGTAGCGACAATCACCTTGACATATAAAAAGAAAAAAAACTGTTTGTTAACCTTCAATGGGGTCTAGTGCAATTTAGTGGACATCTTATTTAGCTGATCAGCAGAAACAAAGGAAAGACAGCCTAGTCCTAGCCATAACCAAAACGTTGTACAAACGTTGCTTTTGCTTTTTCACTCGTTTTAGAGTGAAACGTCCTGTTGGCGAACTCGAACATAGGTGTACGGGAGCTTCAATTTCCAAAAAGTAAAGTTTGCGGGGTCGCCTGAAGTCGGTAATGGCCGAACAACGAGGGAGTCTGTTCCATTTTCTTTAGCACTAGACAAGGGAGATCTATGCTGAGGTGGAGCGTCACTCTTTTTAACACTTGTATCAAAAATTTCGGTTGCTAGTATTGATTTAAAGACAGACAACATTTTTCTGAATGTTTATATCTCACGTGACTGACGACGTCATGAAACTAGAAAATAGCATAAAATCAGTTATATTTTTTGACTGCAGAGTCAAAACAGTATAATAGTAGCATATTTGGATACAATGCACAAAATCCATTCCAGTGATGTATATTGTGTTTTAAGATGATTACGTCATCATGACTTCAATAAACAGATTTAGATTTGAGGACGCAAAGTCTAAGACGACGTGAGTATGGCGTAATCTGTCGTAAACATCCGGTTTCTTTACTTCCGCTGCCTTTGCGTCGTCGCCTTTGCGACTTCAGTGTTTTCTACCTTTTTTTGTGTGTATTGATAGATTAGTATTGAAGCAATTCAGCTAATTGCTTTGTGTGTGTAATTGCATTTAAATTTACCGAAATAATACGATGCTGATACATAATGTATGCATGTTTTGTTGTTCATGTAAACAATCAACAAGATAAATAATTTCGTTTTTACTTTGTTTTAGATAAATTTTTCTTTATATTATTTGCAATGCCGAAATAGAGAATACCAAAATAGAGAAAGCAGCTTTTAAAAAAGAGGAATTTTATTGAAATGTGGCGTGTTTTGTACGCTATTTTTATGCTTTGTCGATACTTGCAAGCTGCGATATATTTCATACAGTCAATATAAACCAATTTACAACTCAAATTGTACCATTGAAAAATTTATTGAAATGCCATGAAATAGCAGTACAATGACAAAAAAGATTAAATGTAAGTTAATGAAACGTATTATGTTTTTCGATCCATGCAAACCAACTATTATACTCCACCAAAATGTTGTTTTTTGTCTCCATAATCTCCTGAATAACCAACAACTATGGAAGCAAATGCTGACTCAGTAAAACCAGATAAAAGATGAAATTCTTTTTTCGTAAAATCTCGTCGTCTTCTCACATAATCTAAATCACTCTTAACATGAAAGACGACGGCGTCGTCGACCCAGACTGCCTTGGTCAACTCACGTCGTCTTAGACTTCTCGTCGTCAAATCTAAATCTATCTATTGACATCATGCCCTAATGACGTCACTCTATTTTTTGCTTTACGTTTTTGCGGGTTTTCTTTTGAGAAATGTACACAGACAAAAAAGATATTTTATTTATGATCAACATGTTACATATTACGTAGTTGTACATGCGTTGCAGTAAACTGGTAATCCAACATTCTGACGTCGCCACTGCTTGTTGACTTCACCAGATTTTTTGTAGGTTGCTTCTTTCGCTTTTTTTCGCGCTTCTGGTTCACTTCCCGCATCCTGGACGTATGCTCGTCGAGTATTTGGAGCTAGTTAATGCACGTAGCCGACTTCCAGTGAACAACACTTGCACTACTTTTCCTTGTTTGTCGTATCATTTTTAGCCGTAATTGCTAAAGGGCATCATGTAAATGATAATATCAGTAGAACGTAGCAAATCTAGGTTTGGGAGTGTACTTGTTTTTAACCTATTATCTGGATCGGCTGGAAGATTGTAAATGACTTAACTTTCGCTTCTCCTTATACAATCGAACTCTGGTTTGAATGTATGTTTCTTTCTGTGTTCTTGTATAAAGGGCAGTTCGATTAAATTTGCTCATAATTTTTTTCAGTTCAATCGACGTATCATCTCATTCTGACCAAAACCGTCGAGCATTTTACAAAGTTTGGCAAGTCCAATAACACTCTAGCTTTGCTCACTTTGAATAAATACGATGTTGTGTCACAACCAGTCAATTTATGTATGCCTGTATAAGAAAAACACAATTTTTAATGAATTGCATGAATATCGGCATATTTCTTGTGGTCATATTTCAGATATTTCAGATACCACTTCTTTGTATTGCTAGACTTTTGACCGGCTTACACCATCAGGATAATGACGTCCGTTTTTAGAGATCACCACAACATGTGTATCGGCCTTTGGGTGAATTCATCAAACTTTGTACAACTGCTAGACGGTCTTCATCAGAATGAGATTATCAGTGATGAAACTAAAAAAATGTAAGCAAATTCATTCATTCAGAATGCAAAAAGAATGCAAAAATGTAAAAAGAAACTTACACTCAAACCATAATTCGGTTGACAATAGTGCAACAAAAGAAACGTTGTACCAGTGTGATTCACTGGAATTCAGCTACGTACCTCGATGATCACAGTCTTTCGAATGATTCATTTTTTGGCAAATTATGCGAAGAGGTATGGGAAGCTTTCAACTTTCTAAAAACCAAAGACTCTGGCGATGGATGTACTTCTTGAGTCACAAAATGAACTACGATAGAAAGTGGAAACCTTGAAACAGGCCCACAATAACGCAGCAATATACCTCAATCGTTTTGCAAGTTTGAAACTACACATTCACAATGTCAAGAGACAAACAAAATAGCTTATTGGATTATTTGATGATAGACTTCCAAGTTCGAGAAAAGAAACATGATTTATGGTTACGAATGTCCAACTACGTAATATGTAATATGTTGATAAGCAAATAAAGTATCTTTTTTGATTATTTGTGTCGAAGATTATTTACCTATTTACATATTGTTCAATTTCTGAGATTAAAGAATGAAATTTCTCGGAAAAAAATTGAAGAAAAAAGTCATTAAGGCATGATTTACGAAATAAAAGATGTTTACTTTGTTTGCACAGGCTTATGCAAACCGAGGAGACCATTGGGAAAAATCGAGAGCAGATCACAAGCCCGAGATCGAAGGTCGATGGTTGCACAGGCTCGAGAGTTCTCACAAACGTCTCCGAGGTTTGCATTGATTGTTTAGATTGATTTTATTGGTTGAGGTCAGACGTGTTTAGCACAGGTTAATTCTAATTCAGCTCTAGACAAATCAGCGCACGGGTTTAATTGTGTTTATTTTATAATTTTCATTGAAGTCATGATGGCATCCTCATCTTTCAACACAATACATAGCGCCAGAATGGACTTTGTGCATTGTATCTAAATATGCAACTATTATGCCATTTTGACGCATCAGTTGAAAATATAACTGATCTCATGCTATTTTTTTGTAATTTGATGACATCTTCAGTCACGTGAGATATAAATATTTAGAAAAATGTTGTATGGCTTTAAACCAATACTAGCAACCAAAACCTTCGATACAAGTGTTAAAATGCAATTCCTAAGGTCGCTAGATATCTGTATATGACGTCTGAGCGACATAGAAAATGCGATCCACATAAAATTTAACCAAGATGTTTTTGAAACCCGTTGTAAGCAGTTCAAAAAACTATGCTTCAAATGGCAAACTCAAAACCGAAAAAAAAATAAGTAAAAATTTAAGGAAAACTTTATACAAATTTCGTAAAAATTCTAAGGTTACCTCCAAGCTCCCACTAGTCCACGCTGAATGGACTTTAGTACGGCTTTCGGAAGTCATGTCGCCATGATAACATTCAGCCATTATATGGCGAGTACGCAAGCCGGAGGCAACCTCTGCGCTGTCCTTCTTTGACAAACAATACACTATGCCTGCAAGAACAACAACACAAAATTAGCGCGAAGGCTGCGTTAGGAAAACAAATGTTTACAAGTGATTTGTAGCTATAGGTTAAGTAAAGGCAGTACATAGGTGAGGTATAGATCACATGTTAAAATAGTGCTTCCAAAAATATTGTAAGGCCTTCCATGTACTGTATGGTTTGGTATTGTATATATAGTTCATACAACAAATGTCTCTGACCTTATTATTGTACAAAACCTTTACGATGCATGTCATAAAAGATGATACACACTTCATAAAATTTTAATATTCATGATCAACAACTTTTGAACAAATATAGAAGACATAAATAAAGACAGCCACTTGCACGATCTTCTCCCTTTGTAAAAACACGGTTCGTGCAGTATTCAGGACTTGCAGAACTTTGGACCTTTTAAGAACTTTGGACATGAAGCAATCGATACAGTTGTATTTGATTTACAAGCAACTCAACACATAGATTATGTTCATTATGTCTATTTCAATTTCGTATGATAATCATAAGCACTTTTTAAGTACTTTCATGTTAATTTAGATATTTCATGGACTTGACTTGAATTTGGTTCCTCAATTTAAGATACTCTAAACCTAGCAAAGACCTTGGATTAAAATAGCTTTTTTGGCTGTATATCATAATGCCAAATGTATATGATTTGGCATTATGATACATATATCAAAGCCTTGATGATGTCAATATTACGCTCAACCTCATCAAATAATTATTCAATATCTTTTAATGTACGTTCAATTGCGATAGCCAATGAGACTACAGATAATTCCCAATGTTTTCCCACCTACAAATTATATTGCAGGCGTTAATCCTTCAGCAACAGTTGTAAATTAATGCAGCATATTGTTAATTACATTAGACATGTTTCTTAAGACACTATACCTATAAACAAAAAGTTGTATACCTGACTGTCGAGCAAAACACTTTTTAATAAGGGAGGCGATTTCGTCAACAGTAGCTTCTGAAGAGGCGGGTTTAAGTCTCACCTACAAAGTAAAGTAGATTACATTAAAACTTATCAAAAAACAATAGCTAAATTAGTTTCCAAGCACAGGTTGAGTACAAACTACAATGTCAGCTGTAAATACACTGACAAAACATTAGCTGTACAGCACTAATAAGTACTTGAAACTGTAAATAAAAACTTAAAACTTAAAACTTAAAGCTTAAAACAGTGGCATAGATAACTACGCATTATTTTCTTCATTAAAGCCTGTGGAATATTTTTAATTATTCGGAGAAGCCGTCAATAGCTATATGTTAATTTACCCGGTATTTTCAAAATTCTACACTCATTTTCAAAAGTATTTGTTTTCAGTGGGCGAAAATGCCGGCGTAGTGCAACATAAACGTATAATTTTGTCTTCGGTTCTAAATAACTCCAGCGTGGTGTACCCGTGGCCTATCAACAAGCACCATCAAACAAATTCATCACCGGCCTTATGTGAATCAAATCGCAAAAAAGGGCAGTAAATGTTATGTGAGCTCATATACGTTTCTGTTGCTTTTATCAATCACAGCAGGACCTAGATTTAGCGTGAAAATCTGCGTGAGTACAAATTTCAATAACGGACGTTATTGACGGTGAGCAATAATGGCTATTTTAAAACAGAAGTGTCTACTTCAACGTGGTCTTCTAGTAGCATATATATACAAGTGGTTTTATCGGTGATTCAAGCCCTGTTTTCTAGTGTTTGTAACCCTGACAAAATAATAACCGTTTATAGCATGACGTAATATCACGTCATTGTTTAGAACAAGAATGTTTACCTCATAAAACAAATTTGGACGATTAAAGGATGCCTTTAGTATAACCGTGCTGTCTGATAAATTCAAGATTTTTTTTACGTCTTCAATGATACTGGATGTTGCTGTGGCCGTGAGGCCTAGAATTGGAACACTTGGAAATTGACGTTTGAGAATACCAAGAAATTTATAGTCCGGTCTGAAATCATTACCCCATTGGCTAGTACAGTGAATTTCATCTATGACAAATCGAGACACATTTCCATCTAAAGTAATAAAAAATAATTACTACGTGTAACACGAAAAAGTATTTCAACTAATTTACAAAACGACAACAAACCTTTCTCATGGCTTGCCCACATTTGTATTTAAAATATTGCAAACACAAGTATACGCAGTAGCTACAGCTTTATACATCCTGCAACTTTCTTTAAGTGCTGCTTAGAGCACTTGTTTAGTTTTCATTCTGTTCTTTAATTTAGTCTTAAGAATTGAAAACCACTCAAGAAAGTATACATCAAACAATATAAATATATCTATATGTTTAAAGATAGGCAATCCAGGCATTATATTGTTTCAAAATAAAAGTTTCTCTACATTTTATAAAGAATTTTATTGAGCTTTCGACTCGTTCCTTGAGCCTTCATCAGAATGAGGAAATATTATTTACACTTGCTTTTAGCCTGTAGACGCTTAGAGCGTCTAATTCGATTAGCGAGTGGATTAATGTGATTGGATGGGGTGAAATGCGTTGCCTTAGGTTTTGGTGTATTGTGAATATGATCGTGTTAATATTATTAGAGTGCAATGTTGTAGTTTTGGTGCTGTTTGTAGTTTTTTTGTCGTTTTTCTTTAGCTGTGAGTATATAATGGGTATATCGATATGTTTGTTTATTGTGTAGGCTTGTGGGCGACGTCAATATTAAATGGTTGAAGAAGTCTGGCAGTCACTTCTGATGCTCCGTTTATGTATGGTAATGTGACGATTTTTACTGTTTCCTCCGGTTTCTTGTTGCTTTTGTCGGTTTGTGTTTTGTTTTGTATTTTGTTTATAGTTTTATAGTTTTGTTTATGACGTTTCTAGGGTAATTGTTTTTAATAAATGTGGAGTATAAGTAGTTGCGTTCTGTTTTCTTGGCTTCTTCGGTGTTACAATGAGTGTTTATCCTGTTAAAAAGTGTTCGAATGCAGCTTATTTGGTGTTGTGTTGGGTGATTGCTGTTGAAATCGTGTATTTGGTCTGTGTGGTTGGTTTTGCGGTATACCTGTGTGTTTAGTGTACCGTCATTTGTTCTGGTTAGTAGGATGTCGAGGAAAGTAAATTGTTTGTCGTGCTCTTGGTCACAAACAACACAAACATTAGACTATGGAAAGATATGTCGACGACATCTTTGCCGTAGTCGAGAAAGACAAAACTGAACAAATCCTACACACCATAAACAATACCACAAAGAACATAACCTTCACTAAAGACGAAGAGCACGACAAACAACTTACTTTCTTCGACATCCTACTGACCAGAACAGATGACGATACACTAAACGCACAAGTATACCGCAAAACCACCCACACAGACTAAATACTCGATTTCTATACATAGAGTGCATAGAGTGCAATGACTCTAATAATATTATCACCGATCATATTCACAATACACCAAAACCCATGGCAACGCATTTCACCCCATCCAATCACATTAATCCACCCGCTAATCCAATTAGACGCTCTAAGCGTCTACAAGCTAAAAGCAAGTGTAAATAGATAATTTTCACATTCTGATGAAGACTCGAAGGAACGAGTCGAAAGCTCAATAAAATTCTTTATAGAAATCCGGAGAAACTTTTATTTTTAAAAAATATATCTATATGTTTAATCTTCTATAACAAGAGACGTTAGCACATTACTTTCATTTAGATTGTCTGTCAGGCCTCTCTGTCAACAGTATTTACAACCTCAGACATTGCCTTACTCAGTAGCAAAGCCAGGGTGAAGCTTTTTACTCCTGCTTATACTGCAACACGAGAGCCCTTACTTAATAATGTATTTACAGTAAAACTCTTTTTTTGACATTGTAGCCCATGCAGTTTCAGAGTTTCTTGGTACGCTTTTCGAGCAAAATAATTGTCTTACTAAGGGTCACGATTTTGTCTTAAACAAGCAAAATAAGTTCAGCATTAAACACCATGTACACATCGTGGCATGTCACATTTCACCATTGATACCAAAATGACGTATTTTGTGGTAAACAAAACTTGGCTCAAAACTGAAATACACGGTCTTCATAGTTTTTGAAAAACTAATGAGCTTGTGTACGTTTTTCCACAAATTGTACTCTAAACCAAGCTAATACATGCACAAATGAAATTGATATTTATATTTTTTCTAAACACATTTGAATCAAAAAGCAAACCATATAATTGTCACGTATTAAAGCAAAAAACGGTAAACAAAATGTTCTTCACATAACTTTTAAGTAACTTATATAAAATCCCATACTTTCATAAGCCTTTTCCAACTTGGCAAGAAAACGTTTCGACTTGGAAATCTTCTCTGGAGTGACGTACAGAATTTTCAGCCCATAATTCTTATCCAGCATCTGTGATTGAACTCGGTCAAGCTCCCCTTTGGTACAACTAGCGTTCAATAAAGCTGCTTTTATGTTATACTTTTTTAGAAAAATTATCTGGTCCTCCATTAAAGACACCAGGGGGGAAACGACCAGCGTAAAACCAGTAGAAACCAGAGCAGGAAGTTGAAATGTGAGACTTTTACCGCCACCAGTCGGCATCAAAAGAATGCAATCTACACCTAAAAAGGCACAATTATTAAGTGAATTTTTTGTTGAAATTTCGGTCACGATTAAAACTATTTTTTACAATTTAATATGGATTCTCGTTGCAAACAGCTCAGAGCCCCTCGGCATCCTCTAGAGGCGCCGGCAGGATTATATTTTAAAGGTGGGGGTGAGACGCAAAACATCCCCAAATGTCTCTAACTTATTTTACGCACTGTTTATATAACTGACATTTACAAAGACCTTAGAATGAGAAATATTGGGGGGGGGGGGTAAGATTTCATCACAACATTAAACAGTGAAGCCCATTTTTTTCTATTTCGTTGCTGTTGCCAGAGTTTTTGACATTGTAAATTATTTTTATAAAGTTGGCAGGATTTCTGAGAATCAGACCCCAGAATTATTTTGAATCTTTTATAAGTGTAACCTTTACTGAAAATAATTCACCTAAATAAGAAAATACTCATTGATTAACTTCAAATATGGTGAACCCATTCGAGTATAGCGTATCAGCCAGAGTAATTACTGTTATATTTGCATACATGAAAATCGTTCAATAAAATTTCTTATACATTTTACTAGAAATATAATTAAATTAATTCTTCTTGAAAAAAAATGTCTTTAGCTGGCTTTACCAATGTCTACTAAACAATCTTTAAAACATTTACTTAATACAACAGAAAAACAAGAGCACTGCATGCATGACAGACTGAATAATGTGAAATTTCTTTGAAACTTTGCACTTATAAACAGAGGAAGCGGCGGAAGCATATTCCTTTCTTTTGGGAGGGGGGGGGGGTTGAGGGCACATGTGGTCAAGTTCATTTAGTATAAGTATGACTTATAATCATTGTGGCTATTTGACACAACAACCATTAATTATTGACACCATCTTCAGCTGTTTGCACACATCAATTACAGTGCAGTATTTATTAAAGTGCGAGTGTGCAACACTTGTTTTTCAGTTTTCTGGCCATTGTAAAATGAGCCATTGTAAAACTTGCGTGATCTAAAGAAAATTGTTGGTGCTTTGTTTTTAAAACTCTTGAAGGACAGTTAAAGCATGTCATTTTGCAAACTTGTTGTGAGGGCTTTAAAGGATTTGAGGCTGTGGCAAATTTCAAGCAGTAACTATCCTCTTTTTTAGCATTTCCTAGGATTGTTGATTACATAATACGTAATAGTTCAACATAGAAATTTGCAAAGTAATAGAATGCATCATTTAAAAATTCCTTTATGAAATATTCTGATGAGGCATGCCTATAAAAGTCATAAAAGTCATAAAATCCAAAAAATTTCATAAAATCCAAAGCAAAATTTCATAACAGTTTGCAATTGACAACTCGGAAAGTGGCAAGAAAGGCAACATATACAGTAACAAAATAAACCCACGAAGGACCTCTACCTGATAAAGTGATGTTCATAGACTCAAGCTGTAACGGCCGAAATTTCTTGATGCCAAAAACAGTTTTTTTCAAATTTTCTAATTTACTAGACCACTGGAATGACATGGAAGACCAATAAGTTGAATTCTTCTCATTTGTAGGCACATCTTTCCGAGCATCCAGAAGTTTTTCTTGCAAAATATCCTTTCTTCGCTGGAGTTCTTCCTCACGGCGTAATAACTCCTCGACTTGGGAGTGTGTGCGTTTAAGTTCATCATCTATACTTTTTATCTCAACCTCCAACTTTTCACGCTGAATTTCAGTCATTGTTATTGAAGTATAACAAAACTCGTTTTATGTTTTTCTTTTATGCGGGAAGACACGCGTGCCTCACACGCAGTTCATTGCTCACAAATAGCGAGCATGTAGCGAGGATAAAACGAACCCCACACGAAGTAAGTCAATCCGAAAGTTCTTGCTTCTTGGCGGGAAAGTTTAAAAACTTCAAAAAAAGATTTGGCTCAAGACTTCTGTTGAGTTTTTTCACCATTGCTATCCTGAAGCACGCCATATTTGCTGCAATGACAACACAAACAACAAAAGGTAAGACTTTAGAGTCATATCTGTGGAAAAAAGCTAAACTAATGTCATTTGTTGCGAAAACTTTTGGCTGTCAAGAGTTTGTTTTGATTTTCATTTTCATTTTGGCTTGTTTATTTCTCGTTTGTTTGCAGTAGAAAATAGTAGCAGATCTTTTGTTTGCCAGAATATTTGACAAAAACATGTTTTAAATTTGGAATACTTTGTAAAGAATCCAATTCGTAATATTTTGGCCATAAAATATTCTCTACTGTGATTTTAAAGCAACAGCGTGGTTTATAGCTATGTAGTAGTTCGTGTCTAAAGTTATACTTTATAAACTTATTGTAAATTGTTTTTTATGAACTAACTTTAAATATACTTTCGGCATTTTCTTTTTCAGGCGTGATGGAAGACGAAAGCTCGGGCAATAAAATTTTAAAGTATCTTCGTAACATCAAAACTAGAAGGTCGAGCTTACGCCTTTTCAACAAGATCGCTGCAAAACTGCCCCACTCACTTACTGCAGAAGATACTCGACATCCACTAGGAGCATTTGTTGTGTTCTCTGACGAAGTCCTTTTCCATATTTTCCTTTACATTCCCCTTCGAGATCTTGGCTCGCTGGCTTTGTCATCTAGACTGATGAGAGACAAGCTGATAACGTTTCACTTTAGTAAGCAAGCATTGGTTGCTTTAAAACCACGAATTTTTGAACAAAAAGAAGGCAAGAAAGACACAGTGAAAGAAAAAGAGTATTCAAACCATTTCTTAAACTTGGGTAAATTACTTTAATTTAGTTTTTCAACTCATACCAATTCCCAGTCAAGTTTTATTTGTTTCATTCCTTTCATGTGCATAGTTACGCACAAAATCGTGAAGGCTGTCTTAATTTAGACGTACCATGCAAACTATTTTTTGCTTTTAAAGCATTTATGTTTATAGTCATGTTTCAAAAAATGTGTATGAGCATATTTCCAACAAGCTATTTCATTTCACTAGAAAATGAATGTCTTCTTTCAATTCGTTAGTATACATTAGAGACTTTAACGTCACGCTAAATTTACTGTCATTTATCAACTGTCATTTTGAAAAATTTTAAACACCTTTCGAAAAAAATAGGTATATTTCTCTAGTGACCACCATCCCCGTGAGAAGACATTTTACAATATTAGCTATTAAGTCATTTCCTACATATACAATAAATCGTAACTTTTTTTGTTGTGTTAATTTCACCTTGCAAATAACAAAGTTTTCATTGCTACATTTATGTTAATGGCAATAATAAAATTTTCTGTACTGCACTAATGTTTGATTTTATTGCGTCAAATATGTTAATCGAATGAAATCAAACAGAAAATTTTCAAACTTCAAATTACACAAAGCTTTTTTTATATCCAACAATAACAGACTGTAAAAAAAATTCATCAGTAAATTGTGAAGTAAAAATTGCTATTGGTTTTCTATTTACCTCATAAATTAGTTTTTGCCTTTTACATTTGCATGATCTCTACTCTGCTCTTTTTAGGTATTTTCCTAAAAAAACTGACATGCCTCTTTACCACCAGAGAAAGGCTTAAGATCGTTGGAGAGTTGTTAGAAAAGGTGAAGATATTTTAATGCAGATGCTAAAATAAGGAACTGCTAAAAATGCTATATAATATAAGGAAGGTGACTTAGATACTAGTGTTAATAATGGTTTTGATTTTTAGCTTAAGGATACGCATACTGCGCTCTACAAAAATTATGGTTGCGATACAGCATACCGTTGCTATGGTAGTATGTTGCACGCTTTTATTAACGGCTGGGAATTGGACGAGAAAAATCGAGCATTTATTGCCATTAAAGGTAACTGAAATGACTTTGTGATTCCATGAAATCAACTACACCTAATCTCCAGGCTATTCAATTTGATGTATTAGTCAAGAAAACATATAGCCAGTTAAAGTTAGTTCTTTACAATTTCACGCTCAACTCCATACAACTTCACTTAAAATTCCGTAAAATAGTAATACATCATATAGAAATGCAAAAACAAGTAACTGAATAATCTGAAGTTTAAAAAAATAATGTTGAAGCTATCAATCCCACGTATTCCCACTTTCCATTGAATCAATCTTTGAAAGCAGAAAATGAAGCAATTTGCATTTACTGAATTTTGTTGAAAATCGAGGAACTTTGTTGTTGTGCGTAGGAATGGTCAAACATTGTCTCAAATATAAAACTTTTTACAACACGAAAAAAAATTATTAATTTTGGACTTTTGCATTCTCGCCTCCCAATATAAATTACCGTTATACTGAATCGAATCAATATCTCTTTTACGTGGCAAAAAGAAAGTCTAAACAAGCTCAATTTTTTCCATTTATGTAATTGCGCATTATTTTTAATAAGCTGCTTCTAGCGTTGATGAGCGTTTGCAAGAAGCGCTAGAGAAAGGTTTTGGTTCAAGACCTTGGTACGAGAAGTATGTGCGTGTGTTCTACCGTGAAATATTCCTTGATCAGTCTGTGGATGACAGTGAGCGAGGTTTCTGGTTGTGTCGCATGATTTCACCACTTCCTCTGTTTCATCAAGCACGTTTGCTTTACATGCTTTATGGTCCAGAGGACGACAATGATGGTAAACGAAAGTTTTATTTTTCCTTAATTCTCTTATCCCTGTATTTTGACGAAGATGACTTCGGCCGTTTTCATTTATGATAGATAATATGTCTGGATGACTTAAGATGAATTTTTTGATGCTTCTCTCAAATCATTGGAAGGATAAGACAGTCATAAGACGAATTAATTTTACAGACGACTTTAGCTTTTCAAATTTAAATCCCCGTCTTTATCCTGCAGTCCATTACGTAACAAAGTTATGAATATTTCATCATTTTTCAGATTTTCAAAAGCATTTTAATCTAATCTAGTTGGTAATTTAAATACTTTAACTTTTCTCATTAAGCTTTTTAACATAGAAATTCATACAGAATAATGAATACTTGCTTTATCTGTGATTTTTCTGAAATATTAAGTCATGAAGAAATGCAAAAAACAATTGAATGAATTAACAAAAGTTCAAAAAACTAATGTTCAAGCCCGATTTTCTTTAATCCCCTTTTTTTAAAGTGCATACTATTTTCATTTATATTTTTATTAGCTGATAAGATTGCTTTATATTTATCATATACCTCTAGCACTTAAATTTGTAGAATTGATTGATTGGAATCGAGTGTCAACCAACCCCACATTCTTTGGTGTTGATAATAAAGACGTTGCTGGGATTGCATTGGCTTTAATGAGTTTATACAATCATAGTGACAAGAAAAGAAACCATAATAATATCGTCAGTATCATTGAAGAGCTTATCAGTAAGTAAATATCATTGCATCAATTCAAATGAAACACGAAGTATCATGGATATGAAGACGAAATCTTTCATTATCCCATCTCAAGAAAATTTGTATTTGAGCAATCAGCCCATTTGCTTACATATATACAAGTATATAGTATTTAATTAAAAAATTTTAAATCCGACAAAATATTTGATGTAGATGCTAACCTTCTGCTAATATTTCGCACTTTTATCATCGATAAATGCTAGACATTGATTTGTTTGTTAAAAGGTCATATCAAGGTTTATAGAGAGTGCACTAGCCACTATGCCTGGAATATCGAAAAGTTTCTGACTTTGCAATGTTGTAAAACTGAAAAAAAAATAGGAATTGTTATCTTTAGACTGAATTTAAATAAAAAAATAATATGGTAATTTTTGTCACATTATTTTTGAAACTGCTCAATGAAATCAAGCAAAAAACAACTATTCATTGTTACAACTGAAAATCCAATTTTGAATACAATAATGGAGTACTCTGAATTTACTTCAGTCCAATTTTCAGCAACCTTAAAAATTAATTTTAATTTATTATGTTGATAAATTTTAAGTTGAGCTACTTGGTGGTTTATGACAAAATATAAGAGATACAGCTGCATGACTGCATGAGTATCATCACCGACACTGTATTGCTCACAAAGATTCAGTAAAACCTTATGTGGTAAAAATAACATTTTTTAAAACGTAGTATCTGAAAGTCTCCATTTTCAGTGAAGTGGTTGATTGTGATTGTGATGATGAAAATCAATTTAATTTACAGTCAAAGAGAAATGGTTTTTCAAACGATCTTCATTCGTATTTGATCTCTCCACCTGCGCTCTATTACCTCATCTGAATTAAACTACCAATCATCGGGTCTATGCACTGACTATTTACACATTTTATTCTAATTGGAGTCAAGGATTTAAAATTTTTGTTTGTTTAGATGGATGGTGCTGGGAGAACATCGCTAAACTGTTAAGACTTTGCAGTGATGAAATATGTTTTGATTTTCTGAGCAGCAAAGCGATCAATGGACGAATACAAGAGGTTGTGAACATTTTTTTCTACATTGCGCAGGTAATTTATGCAAAAACATGTGTGTCGCTAAACTTTTACTTCAATGCATTTTTTCGAGTATATTTATTGAAATAGATCATAATCACCACTGACGCCTTGGTGGACGTTGCCTCTCCAGCAATTAATTTTTCTTCTTGCTTTATAGACGTTAGTTGAGGATAGAATTAATGGAAAGGACTGTCAAAGATATCTAAAATGGTTTGTATTCATAGTCCAACGAGTCTTAAACGTGATGACGTGTCTAAAACAACGAGCATTGTTGGTTCGATCCTTGTTTGACATTTGGGAAGAAAATTTACTTAACTTTCATGATGATGAAAATGCTTTCACAGGTAACATTTTTTATACTTAAATAAAAATAATTAAGTAGCACATTATAAATAAAAAGACTAAAGTGCATGCATTAAAGTATTTTAAAATGCATGAAAATATGTTCTTGGTAGCTAATGTATTTCATGTCAATATGGTTTTCATTCTATTTCATTTTATTTCAAAATAAAATAACCTTATTGGTAGCTAAAATTGCTTATCAAACAATTGTTCTGAAATCAGGTATTTGCTGTTTCAATTTCTGAAAATCAAGTTTTCATGTAACATATAGAAAACAGTTACTTCATTGTTTATATTACAAAAAGCATGAAACTATTCTAATAGCTATTAAGTAATAAAAAAGCTCATTTTTAACTCATTCATACATTGCATAATATAATGTCTAAAACAATACCTTCATTTCAATTTAATTGAGCTAGCTAAAGCTTTGTGCAAAGAATCATGTGTCAGTGTTTTGCTGAATTTTACCATCCATTGGATTGTGATTGCGATTGTTGATGAAATAAATTATTTGCTATCTGAATAATCTTTAATTCTCTTATTTTTAAGAAGATGACAGTGCTCTTGGTGAAATCTTTAATGCATCTGTTCATATCTTGGCAAAAGTAAGCTGCATGTTATTTCTTGAAAAGTTCGATATTTGTCCTGGAGATGAGAAATAATTTCTCAAAAAATTTGATCACAGAGAAATTTTGCAAAAACAGTTGAAATAGAAGTGTAAAAAAACCCCAACAGTGCTTTTACATATTTGTTGTTTCTTTTGAAAGGGTTTAAAGTCTGGTTTCAGCTGATCTGGCTCTGACATATTTCCGACATTTTCAGTTGTTTATTTATCACAAACAAAATGAAAATGCATCTTTTTATTTCGTTTTCAAACTAACTGATATTCATATATACAGTGCTTTGCAACTTACAACAATGATATGTATTTGTATATGCCTATCATTATTGTATATGCTTTGCAGTTCAGCTGCCAGTTGACCCGCAAATTCGATATTTTTCAAAGATGAATCTCTAGAAAAATGTTAAAAAACAAGTTCATAATTCCAAATACATTTTAAGTTGTTAATGATTGATTAAAAAATAAACTTAAAAAATAAGTATTTTGTTAAAAATTTAATTGACTAAAATGTTGAGGTAATTTAGCATTCATAGCTTATGAAATGACCTATTTGGAGGTCACTTGCAACTTGCAGCACAAATAAGGACAAATAATTTAATTTAGTTCCACTTTTCGCTTACCTTTTGTGAGTATGTGTTTAAGACTATTTCAGTACTAGCACAGTATGATTCAATGCAAGAGTTTTTTTGCATAGTTTTTTAATCGTACGTGACCAGTGCTCATGTTGTAAGTGCTCATGATGCTAAACCGACTTCAAAATAAAAGATTGCTTTAGCGCAACATTTTTAAGTGTTTGATTTGTTGAGATAAGAATGCTTTCGTGATTGTATTCATCAAAATGGTTTAACAATATTGATAATCATTTCGAAAAACGAAGCATGAATTGAATTGGAATAGCTTAAGTTATTTTTAATACCAATTTGAGAAATGTATACATAAATATGGCTGTTGAGTGATAATTTATTTTAAAATATTCGATGTAACACAAATTGCCAAATGTAAAATATCCATTGTTTTTTGTATATAACTTAACAAATTTTTCTCTTTGATATTAATTAATAAATGTTTTCATCGTTAATTCTTTTGCATGTGTCTGAAAGACCACATGTTGCAAATTGTACATTGTAAATAAAATTTGCATTAAACTCCTTTTAAAATTTCACGAAACATTGTAAGCTTTGAGCAACATATACCATTGCCCCTATATATCAACTCTATCTCAAATCGCTTCTCAGTAAAACATATCCCCCTAAAAAAAAGGATGTCTTTTGCGACAATTTTACAATCAGATAAACGATTCGAAGTTCACAACTTATTCAAGCAAGGTTATTCCATCTTTCTTATGAATTTAAACGTTCACTGATATAAAATTTTATTAAAACAAGTTTTCAGCAGTCTGTCTACAGCCTTCGACGGGTTATGAAAGAAGTAAAAGGGTTGAGATGTAACACTATAAATACATGAACAAAGAAACGAAAATAAAGTAATATGTTCTATGTAATAGGTAGTTAATCTTTTTTAAAAGAATTTTATATTGTGCTTGAATTATTATCGGCTGCTTTGGTTATTCCAGTGTGCCATGATTCTAAATAAAATCACACTTGACACAACGCGATCTCATGAAAAGTTACCATGCACATTTTTTAACATGGTCGAACCTGAAATACATGTCAATTAACGGCAGTTATACATAGTTATACATTACAACAAGAATTCCCATTACCCAGATATCGATCACTTATTGAAGAGCAAACCGATTAGACGTTAACCCAAGTGGCACTGCAAGCTGTTCCAAAGATAAGCTCGACTATATGAGATAGAACGCTTTAAATAATTTGTTTTAGGTTTTGGATGAACAACTTGCCGTTGGAATTTCTATATTTACTATGATATACTTACTAGGGAGTACTGATATGTACTATGATTAAAAATTTCCTATAAATATAGAGGGGTATGACCGTAAAGTGCTTTAAACATAAAAATAGCTTTTTGTTTTTGAAGAATAGTACGTGCATTATCCCACTTCAATTATTCATGAAGGTAGTCAGATGGGACGTCATATGTTGAACACATTATGACGTGGGCTGCTCAATTTTGGAGATTTTGAAGCCTATCACTCGGAGCATCTCCGAGCTCATCCCATACTAAGGAACAGGAGAAATAAGGTTCGATAACACCTTGATATAATTTCTTTGTTGTCTCCTGGTCAATGAGCCCACGTACTTGTTTCAGTAGTAAGGGATATGCACGCGTGGAGACCACGCAATTCAAAGTAGTCTTGGTCTTGGAGGCGAGAAAATTTTAAGAGCTGTTTTTGAAATTTGACCATTGAGTTCTATAATAACTGGAGCGGCTAAGTGGACTTGGAACTGACGCCAAACAAATGGCGGCCAATGGACCTATTTCCGCTAAAGTGATCGCTTTGCAGAAAAAATATATTCTCGACCTCTCCCTGATATCTATAGCTAATTATACAGCATTTTTTAAAAACAAACTCGATATCTTCTTTTGTCATTTCTTTTAAATGCCAACACTTCAATCATTCAATTGTTGGATATCGTAGTGTCCAAAAAAAGGAACATGTCGCTTTCACATGTGAGATATTTGTTTTGTCTGTTCTTTAAAAATTGAAAAGCAATTGAACTTAAAGCCTGAGCAAGAAAATCCGACTGATGTTTTCCTGTTTTTGTTTTTAAATATCAACATACTTTTCCACTTATTTGTTAATATGTGAAACCGTAAATCTGTTTGCAAAATAGTTTCCATAACGCGAAAGAGATTTTAAAAAGATTCTGCTCTTTCTACTCAGTTGGCAGATACTATGAAGAAACGATCACCCGAAAGAGTCCCATAATGTAGAGCAGAGTTTGTTCTGATCAATTTGCTGACAACATGAAGATATGATCGGATAGCAAAATGTTTCTGGAATATGCTGCAGTACCACTATTTCATAGATCACTATATTAAGACAATTGGAAGATGCTATTGACCAGACAGAGTCTAACTGCCAATTGCTAAGGCTGAATACGAACTAAGGTAAATGATTTACAGACTTCCCTGTTCAACAGTTATTTGAACTTGGACTAATTCTATGGATGGAGATAATGGATTTAATAAAGATACCTTGAATGCTTTGAAAGTTAAAGTCAAGTACCAAATAAAGATAACAAGGTTATGTGTGTCTTGATGCTTGATGAAATGTCATGTAAACAGGTCATAAAGTTTGTGCTTATGTCAATATTGATACTGAGATTGATGATGACTTACTGCAACTGTATAATGCATGCAGTGTGTTTGGTATAACTAAATTGTAAAATCATGTCACATCTTTATTAAATTATTTTAGTAGAATGCTGTTTGAATGTTACTTATATGTAATGCATGCTATATTGAAGCATTAAAGATTCAGTAATGAAAACCTCAGTGCTATATATTTCTTCTTAATTTCAGTTTTAGCTGAAAAACTATTTTGAGCTGATTTACCAAATAAAGTACAGAATGGACATTTGCCATTTGCTTTATTTTCTGCTTTATCAAACCAGGGAAATGTTTTGACTTTTCCAAGTTTTTCTTCAATTTTTTGCTTCTTAATTCATTTCATAATATGAATGAAATACAGGTAGTACAGTTTAATAACTTTATAATTTTTGAAAAGCTGTTATGCTTCTAGCATTAAAGAACACAAAATGTGTTTAATTCATTTGGTTTTATTGCCTTGTGTATATGCACTTCATTCTTTATAAACAACACCATATTTAGAGGGTGAAATCCCATAGCAACTGGTATTAAATATGGGTATAAAATTTATTATTGAGGCGAAAGCTGTATTAGTCAATCAAATTCTGAACTCACGTGGCTAATAGGAAACACATAAAAAAGAGAAAAAGAAGAGAAGTATTAAATACACAATTGTGTATTCATGTATTCAAGTATTATAAACACTGTTGTAATTTAAGTGTATTAGTTATTTGCATTTTTGCCATTTCACAATCATTACAACAAAATCAAATATGCAACAACTTGACAAGTATTTGATGCAGTTCTTGTTCAGAAGACCACAAAAATCTCAAAAATTCTAATGGTTTGTATACAATATTTTTTTTCACTATTAATTTAGCTACGAAACGCGAGATGCATGTGCAAAAACAAATCGTGCAATTGTTGCGAAAAAGGCCATCACATGAAAGAAAGCAAAAAACTAATAAGAATAAATGAGCTAACATTTCTCTCGTGATTTGCTGAGATAAAATATGATACATTTTGTTTCGTGCAGATTACACATTTTGATATCGAGCAAATCATTGAACGACAGTTACGACGCGCACATCTGCATTTATATGTGGCCAACAAATCACTCGTTCGTCAATAGATAAAAAAGGCATCCGTCGTAGAAAACGACAACTGGCAACCACAGTAGACTAGTTCTTATGAAATTTATGTTTTTACAGTGATTTTAATCACAGAATGCTTGCCAAATGTTCGAAAAACACATATACTTTTTCCTCACTCTTTCTTAAGGTGGGAGAGAGAAATTGTGAGATTTTCGGAAAAGCAATCAATTTCGGTAAATCTCAGCGGTAATGGAACAAATCCTCCATTTATTTGGCGTCAGCCATGTTAGAGATAGCCGCTCCAGTTATTATAGAACTAAATGAATTTGGCAGGTCTCATTTTTTTGGTAAGTCAATTTGTTTAGTATTGCCTTTTTTTATCCTTATCATTTTTCCTTTTACAATACGTTTGGTAAGTTAGATTTTTGAGTTTAAGTATATGCTGCTCTTACATTTAGTATTCTTACATAAGTGGAGGAATATGCTGGTCAGTTTTCACTGACTTAATTTTTCTTATGGGATTATTACATCAAAAAATGTGTCGTGATATTTGAAACCACATGGCAGTGGCGGATCCAGTGTACGTCAAAATAAATTATAGCTCCTCAATTTTAAATTCAAATTACATTCAGAAAAACACTATTGGTTTTTAATTTCTAAAGAATATAATTTTACCAATGGATTGGCCTCTATTATGCTTAGAAATGTAAATATACGCAAAAATGTGCTGCAGTAATTCATTTTGACGTACTCTATATCCGTCACTGCCACATGAACAAGATGAAGTGAAAATATGATTTGAAGTTCATTTGTGAGGCATTTAATTTTTCTGACTATATTGATTTAAATAATGCTACAGACGATCAACGAAAAAAAACTGCAAAAAGAAAATATCATGTGTTTGTCGGTATCTCTAACAATTCTCATACTACTAAAAAAACTTTCAGTAGTGCCAGTAAAATTATATTAAAATTAGAATGAATATAAATAAACAGCAAAGAAATAAGCTTGACAACCCTGTTAAGTACTGCAAACTGTAAAATACTAAAATATTTTGCAGTTAGAAGTACTTACTTTTGAAATGTTAAGTTTTGCCCTCACAGCATTTACATAAATTTGAAGTCTGAAATAACACAGTATTTTCCAATTGCAGTATATGAAGAAGGCACTATTGGGGTGGAGACTGGTGCTGGCCCATCCAAAAGTATAATTTTGCACGTTTGTTTGCACATTATGTGTAATTGTTTAAGTTTTATATCAAAATTTAGCAAAATATAAGAGCTTTGGATCAAAAGGTAATTAGCTCAACAGTTGCTGTTTGTCTGAAGTTCGTATATCTCGATAAGCGCCGTTATATCAGACAGGCTTTGCATGACAGCCCTGTGGCCCTCACAGCCAGGGGCGTAACTATAGGGGGTAGGAGGGGGTGCAACACCTACCAATCCTTGAAAATGGATCATTTGCCGGGCAAAAATAAAAAAATCGGGCAAAACTGCTAAAATTTAGTGGGAAAATCATTTTGAAACCTAATAACGATTAAAAATGAATAAAAAGAACTAATTCATAAGCCGTTATAAACAATTGATAAAGCTTATTTGTAAAGTAAATATTGACATTTGTCAATGCAGAAATAAATACAGAAGTGGTAATATTGTTTTATCCTGAATGTTGTAAACTTTCGAGCAGTATTGTCGCAAATGTGCTTACACTGGCCTGGGAACGAGTTTGTCAGTCATTTGGTTTTATTCGACGAATATTGCTTATAAGTTATAACTAACTAGTTTGCCACAACAACTCACCAAATTCTTACTATCAAGTTTACTATCGTAAAGGGATGTGTAAAGTTTTGGATTCTCTGATCGGAGAATTCAAAGAAAACATGGAATAATGTTTGTCAAAGCTAAAGCCTTTGACAGAAATTCTTTAGCCCCTAATAACAGAACCAGCTCTTGAGCAACTTGAATCAAAAGCTTCTCCCTCCGTCTTCACCTATCGACCCTGAGTACTTGCATACAGAATTTAGTGTGTTTGAAAACGTTGTAAACAGTACGAACAAACCTGCACGACTGTAATTAACAACTGTGATGTTGCTAATGTTGCATACAGGAATAAGTCAGTACTGCCCGCTGTCCATAAGTGTTGTAACGTACTCTTAACTGCTCCTGTAACTTTCCCAAAAAACGAAAGGACGTTTAGTGAAATGAAAGTTATAAAGAATTTCATGCAGTCTACGATTTCTAGCGAACGTCTTGAAGATTTGTCTGTTTTAACTGCCGAAAGAGACTTAGCTGACAAGATTGACCTTAATTCTGTCCTTACGGCTTGGGTTTCAAAGAAAAACGGAAAAATCTCCAAAAAACTTTAGTAAATTTTTGATAGAAGTATGTTATGATGTAAAGTAGAAACACTATTCACAAAATCAACCTTTAGTTAGTAAAACGTTAAAATAAATCTTTAGCTGAAGCCCTTAGTTACAGTTTTGTGAGCACACCCTTTTCTCTGGCAAAATGTCACGACCACGCCCTTTTAGTCGGCAAATTGACGTTACACCCTCCAATCGTTGAGCTGAAGTTACGCCCCTGCTCACAGCAGTCCGAAATTTAATTTATTTACATTAATTTGATGAAAAATTTACATTACAAAGATACTAAATTTTACATAAGTTTATAATTACGAACTGTAGCCTATCATGTGTGGTGTTTATGGATATTAACTGTTTTCCCACAAAATTTTAAAAATGGCGCAGTACATTGTAACAAAAAAGGACATCCTTCAAAAGAACACGGTATAGTCGTGATGCACTCGTTTCTTTTTTCCGAAGATATTGCAAAACTTGTACAAGACTCCCAGCGGAAACTCATTTCACAGAAGTCTGTATTCCCATTTCTCCATTCCATTCCCCGATTCCCCATTCCCTGTTTTACAGGTTGCACAGAATAGATATCTTAACAGAAGATCCACTCGTGTCGGAACCTTCGATGTTCGTGTCGCCCACTTTTCTGAAGCAAATTCTAAGGAGACACACCGTCCAGCAAGATACTTCCGTTATATCACAATAGAAAATATAGTTTTTTTACAAATACATCGTTTTGCACTACAAAAGCTAGGAACATGATAAGATGATATGTTTTGTAAAACTTTCGGCAAACTTTTGCTTTAAACGAGAATTATTAGCAAAATAGCATTCTCGTGCAATACTATTCCATATTGATTTTGTGAAAGTATCTTGCTGGGAAGTCACGCATGCGTAGTGAAAAAATACGCCAAGATTTTAGCCGTGTGGGCCTTCCGCTAGACTATTCTGTGCAGATAGCCGGTGAGTGATGAGACCCGTGGAATCTGGAAGCGTGTGTGAAAATTACAGTTCACTGGTGTGAAACTACTTTTGATACAGTTCAGCAGAATGGTGGTACAAACGAATCTTGAATACCATGGAGACGACCAACATCAAGATAAAATGAAAATTGCTTTGCATAATTTTATGCGAAGACAAGTAAGTTGTTTCCATTGGTGTTGCTGTTTGAAAGGACCTGTTATATAGGTCTATTTAGTTTTTAATCTGTTTAGCCTTGACGGTCGGCAATTTTGCCGAAATTTATTCAATTGTGCAGAAATTGTGGTAAAGATATTGTCCATTAAGTTGATGCACTATCCTCCACGTGTGGTCATAGTATTTTCATCAGCAGATTAGCATTGATTGATTTTGACAAATATTCTAAAAGCACAATCTTTGTACGTATGTATTGCTGGTAGTGGTATGAATGAGATTTTTTAAAACTATTTCTGACGATAACGTCTTGTAAATTGTCAGCAATATCAATGTGCCACACATGCATAGTGCTTATAAAGTTAGAATTACATTTCCTCAAAATTGGGCTATTCACATGTTTACTGATTTGTCAAACCATTTACAAGTTGAGCAATTTGCATGATATCCAGTCTTGAAGTAAGCTGTTTTTTTATTTAATGTTTTGTGTGCCCAACAAAATAATTGATGTAAAAATGCCACATTGCTCAATCTGTTACCACACACACAACTCCTGAAGCAATGCATGCAATGCTGATTAATAAGGGAAAGAGCTTGATTATCTCACTTTGGTGTAACTTTTTTGATTTGTCAAGAAATCCTAAATGCTATTCATTAAATTAATTAGCTCTTAGTAATGTGAAGTAAGCTTCTTGGACAAAATATGCTCCAATAATTTATATATATCTTTTGACTTTTTGTGGTCCACATTTTCATAAAACTTGTAATTTTTAAGTCAACCACTAGTATTTTCTGATATTAAAAATACTTTGAAAGCTAGTTTAAGCCATCAAAATTTATAAGTAGCTATTTCTTATTTTGTTATTTTTTATTTCGGTATTGCATTTAAATGTACGTACAATATAAATTTTAAATTCCATTTGTAAAACTTTGTTATGCAGTGGCCTATTATATGGCACTTGGTGGATTTAGTGTACCTTCATGAAATTTTACTGCATATACGTAATATTGTGTATATTAACACATCAAAATACACTTGACAAAATTACATTGGCACAATTTCTTTTGTAACATAATTCACAACTGAGCTGTCATAATTTTGAATCTTCTACTGTCAAAATGCTAAATTAAGTTATTGTGAGATACATATGTATGTATTTATTTCATTGAACAATTTCTTCAGCATTTTTAAGTTAGCCCTATAAATGAGATTATGATAAACTTTGATTTGCTGTTTTGTACATAGAAAGGCTTAAATTTCAATGGAAGGCTTCAGCTCAGCATATTATAAACTAGTTCTTAATGAGTGTTGTATGGTTAGCTTCCCAACTTTGGCAGCCCACCATTCCCACATGATTTTATCAATGGCGAAACTGTCAATTTTCTGTTTGAAACAGGTCTTGTTTGTGAAGTACAAAGCTTTTCCACTTACCACCATATGTAGTGAGAGATGCTTTGAATTGAGAGGCTGAATCCTGGTTGTAGTATGGTTTGAATGCAAAACAGCCTCAAAGATGGGGAACCATTGGAGTGCATTGTCTTAATACTTGCAATATAAATAAAGGTGTTGGAGTATGCAAACTGTACAATATTGTAATGCCCAGGCACTTAAAAATCTCCCTTTCTTTTCAGAAATAAAAATTAATCTTTTGAATCTCAATCAGAATTTCATGCAACAAGAACAATATCTTTAGCTTTATAATACGTTTACATTAAAAGTCCTAGATTATTTTTGCTTTGTTATTCTACTCAGTACTTATTAAGTGTTACGTGCGTGGTCCCGAAAGAATAACTATTAATTTTGGTTCTATTTCCACACGCAACAAAGATAGTGTGAACCAGTTATATTTCTCAAACAATTTATTAATTAATGCGTAAATATTAAAGTAGATAAGTGTCTTAATAATAATATCAATAAGTATGAATAAAACTTATCTCCTCTGTCTGAGTACAACCGCGAGTCTTTATTCTTGAGCGTTCGTGAGTCCAACAATGACTCACAATTATTTTCCAAATAGATTAAAGGCACAGAAGCCAAAAGATAGTTATGGCACAGAAGCCAAGATAGTTGTCTGGTAGATTGTAGCTTGGCAACCTTCTTCGGTAGGCTATGCCTCCTAAGTTTGTCTCCTCGTAGCTTGTGCTCATAGGTTGTCCTCGTAGGTTGTACTCAGTGGTGTAAACTACTCATATATATATAATATCTAAGTTGCACTTGTTCATATCCCATACGCAATACAGTATGTTACAGCAAGATATAGTTAACCACAATAACAACAAATGCGGTTGCGGTTCTAAAATATGTTTACGCATGTAAGCAAGCTTCTAGCGCATGCAAGCAAGCTTCTAGATAATGTCCTAATTAGTAATATATGAATTTATAATATGATATAATAATGATATTACATGATAGTAGTTGGTATCATGTAACATTAAGAAATAAAGCATTCTTAACTGTTGGTCAGGTTGGGGGGGAGGGGCTTAGCATCCCCAATTTTACGTTTATAGCCACTAAGCTTCCCCCCCTCCCAGTTCCGCCGCTATGAGCCCATCACCCTTTTAATTTTGCTTTTTTTTAAAATTTTTCTTTGAAAGATCTCTTATTGCAACCAACTTCTGCGACTAAAACTGTCTATAGCCACTTCTCCTGCTTTGAAAAATGCTGTGTGGTCCCTGTTTTTGTGAGAAATTTTTATAAAATACCATCTTTTACTTGATGGAATTGTCTGACATTTTATCTTGTGAAATGTGAAAGTAACTAATTTCTTCTTAAAATATTTCATGTTTATGACGTAATCCATATTGGTCACACATTCCTTGGTCGTAAAACATCAATTTGTATCAGATGTTATGTTCATGTACGTCCAATTTCTGAACAAAGTTTGCAATTGCCCGACTTGGTTATTATTAGGTATCTCATTTCTCCCTTTACTGAAGGCTTCTGCATCGACTCAGTCGTCGGTTAATCTTTTTCTCACTCATATTTATTTATGATTTTTTTAGATCAAAGTAAGCAAAGTCAATGTGAATGGTGTTTGTAGAACAAAGGATGATTTTGTTCGCGGAGTCATAGAAGATTGTGGTGTTTTGGCTGCCTGTACAGTTCAAGAGGTAAATGCGCGATTTTCAAACAGTCTTACAATTTTAGTGGTTGCACTTGTTCATTTCAAAGCTTTTTACTGTTCACACTTTAACCATCGTTTTGTTGAGTTGTAAAACAGCACGCAAACGCTGAACAAACAATGAAGCATGATGACAAACTACCGTTATGAATTGCAGTTCATCCCCTTAGATCGTATAATTTTAGCAATTTTAGAAGAAATAACGAATCAGGTTGCTTATAAACGCTTAGCATTGTATCATTCGAGAAATGTCTTGATTGGCTTTCAGATACGCTGCGCTCTAGTAGAATCCAAATTTAAATTGACGTAGTTTGAAAACCTGGATGGCTTCCATCTATTGGAAGAGAAGATATATTGTTTTGAAAAGAATGTATTGTTTTGAATAACTATATTTTATTTCTCAATCTTGAATAGTTTCACTTGATGATTAAAAGTTCGTATAATTTTATGACGTTTCCCTAAAGTCTCCTACTGTTCGCCAATATCAAGTGCTTCTTTAAATTTTTTTGCTAGTTCAATGTCAACCTTTAAAGCCGTTTCTCGTTTTTATTGTAAGAAGCAAACTATTCAACTGATAAAATTTTAAACTCTTTTTTATATGGGCCAAAGAAGGAATTAATACTTGTATTCTTTTACCAATAACAAGCAATCTTTCCCTTCAAATAATACCCTGCCTCATTTCCCATTCATCAAATAAATCAGTCATAAGGATTCTTACTCTAATTTCAGTGGACACGTGCGCGCCCGGTGTACTTTCACCAACTGTAAACTAATTGACACGGGTAAGAGCTCCGGAAAAATGCTGATGTCAGCGGTTCTATACCTGTACCCTATCTAGTATTGTTATGCCATCGTTCACGATATACTAACTACTTCAATGGGTACATACAGGATACAGCACGGACATAGTAAACAGTGAGAATATGTTCGCAAATGTTGCTAACTTGTTCATTAGAACCTTTTTACTGCAAGCGTTGTAATGAGAACATGTGTTCACATCTTTGGGGGTTAAAATCCCCAAACTTTTTTTTCTTTTGGCTTCTCTTCTTAGGGTTGAACACGGGGAATCATCCGCCTGATTTCTATGTTATGTATCTTCTGTTAAACTACTAAATATCATGTCCTCTTTCGTTGTATCCATACATCTCTGTGTTGGTTTTCATCTTGTCCTCTTACTTGGCAGTTCTTTCTCTCTGCACTCTTTTGCCTTTATCCTCATTATTTCTTCCAACATGACCAAACCAATTAAGCATGGCTTTCATGGCTTTTTCTACAAAACATCTGCCATGTGCTATGCCTCTCAAATACTTATTCATGTTACTGTCAGATAGTGTCGCTGCAAAACCGAAGCTCTGCATATCATTTTTGCAAATTCCACCTCTTCCTCTGCATATAACATCGCTGGTCCATTACTGTCTTGCAAATCTTGCCTTTCATCCTTGCTGATGCTATTTCTTACACAACCTACAACTTGATACTTTCTCTATCCTGCCCGCGTTTCTTTACCTCTTTTTCACCATGTTAATTGCTCTAATCCAGCTAAATAAAATGCTTTACCTCCTTCATCTCTACGGCATGGAACCTCACAGTTCCATTTGGATCTCTGTTAATAATGCACATATAATCCGTCTTATTCCGACTAATCATGCACCTCTACTTTATAAAGCACGCCTCCATCTCTATAACTCTCCATCAGCAACCTCGATGCAAATATTGCATCCGTACATAGTACTCTTTTTTTGGCTTTATACCTTTGGCGTAGCCATCCCGAAAGTTTTGGTCCTACTATGTAAATTTACATCATTAACATTATTCATTTCTTTAGAAATTTGTTGTTTTTACAGTGAGTGAACACAGAAATGTTACCATTGCACGACAAAATTTGCAGGCTGGCTACGCCACTGCTTTATACCTAACTGCTGCTGCTAGATAGTACAACTCTCAATGTCTCGCTTGTTTGTATAGACCGGTATTAGCACAATTCTCCATTCGTTGGGATCTTTGCACACCCTTCTACATGTGTATATCATCTGGACTGCTTGCCTTACCACTCTTCGTTCTCTTAAGGCGCCCCTAAAATTATGACATTGTAAAATAATATGTCCGATTGGAATTAGCATATGCACTTTACATGAAAAGCACTCGTGTCGTAAACACTGTTTTGTTTCAGTTGTGCTAATGTAACACATCTTTAAGATCATAACAGTTTGAATAATTTGTTTTCGTCTTTTATCAAGGTTTTTAAATGTAGTCGAAGAGCAAAGCTTATATTCCAGCGGCTTGGTATCTTCAAAACGGTCGATATTTTTTTGGACAAAGACAAAGGTTAAGCATGCGATTTTCTGCTTTTGCTTGCGTACACACATTGATGTGCTCAAATTAAAAAACATATTTCTTTACCACAGAAACTAATGGTATTGAAATAAACATGGAGTGTAAAGAATTCCTTATCATTGGTGGATCAGCGGGTACTCAAATTGGGACAAATGAGGGTAATATGGTATGTGGTTTAAAATATTGTGCAATCTTGTTTAACTTTTGCATGTAAGTTGTTTGTCATGCATTGTTTTTTTGCTTTTTACTCGTGCCCTGGAGGAGCACAAGTAGAGGTTTCTGCTTTTAGTGTCGAAAAAACGACTTTCTTGACCCAGAATGCATTGCGCCTTTACAATATGTCTACTGCAAGGAGTGACAAATATTATTCTTCGACAATACAAACATTGAAGCCATCCTTTTACAAACAATACGAAGGATGCAATATCTACACGCAAAAAAGACAATATTTTGTTAAATATTTCTTATCGTATTATTTTGTAAATCCTTTTCTATCTTCAAAATCATTGCTAAATAATGACGTTAGAATTTAGTTCAGTTGAAAGAGTAATCAAAGGCCATTGTTGGAACCATTTCTTTTTTGTTCGTTTGACTGCAACAGTTGACTTCTGTTTCTTCTAAATATTCCTCCTGATTTCTTTACAATGTAACTGCGTGGCTCATTTGCATTCCTCTTGACAATTGCTGGTCTACATTCTTTTACTTCTCTTATCCTTACAAACTCTCCTTTCTGTACTTTGTGAAGACTATGGGCATGTTTGTCGTGGTATTCCTTTTGTTAACGTTGCATTCTTTCTTGGTTGATCCGAAAAGCTTCATCGTCCATGATCTTAGGTTTTAGTTGTGAGTGTAATTTAGGAATCGTAGATCTTACGTTTTGACTCCTAAAGAGTTGCGCTGGTGTTGCAAAACCATTTACTGGTGTATTTCGGTTTTCCAATATCGCCAAGTATAGATCTTGGTGAACTTCATTAACAGTGTCTTTACCGTTTGCACCGTGTTTTCTGCTAGCCCACTACTTCTGAGCTATCTACAAATTGAGGTTTTAAAGTACCTATATCGTGTTTTTGCATTTCTGCCATTTAGATCGTTCAGGATACTTTAAAAACTCTTGTAATATATTTTACGGTTGGAGATTATGATTTTGCTAGTTTTTTTAATGTCATGTTAGGCAAATAATCACCAACTTTGAACTCTAGAAAATGCACGAAGATTAAATTTTCGAATTATAAAATATATTGACAAGATGTTTAAAATTTTCTAAAACATTATATAGGCACTTTAATTTTGCTTCCCCATGTTGACGCAAATATTTTAAATTCTTTTGAAGTGTATTGTGGTCCGTTATCTAATTTTATTTCTTCTGGGATGCCATAACGTGAGAATATCTTTTTCATTTCTGTGATGGTGTGCTCTGCCGTTGTGTTATTAAGTTTAGTAACTTCCCAATATCGGCTATTATACTAAATAACAAGTAGTTATTTCCTTGCCAGTAAAATAGATCTTTTCCTACTACTTGCCACGGATATATTTGAATTGTATGTGGCTTGAGTAGTTCTTTAGCATTGGCATTTCTCGCTGAATGGCAATACGAAAATTTAGATATCTTCATTTCTATCGCTATTGATTCCTGCCCAAAAATCTGTTGCGCCTTGATGCCCTTGGTGCAATTTCTCTAGGATTGTTTCTCTCATTGTCAGAGGTATCAAGATTCTCTGATCCTTCAGTATTATCCCCTCATATTCACTCAATTCTGTCTTATAATTGCAAAATTTGAAATTCTTAGGTAATATTTCCTTTGAATGAGGCCAACCTTTCTGTTACATCTGAATAATCTTTTGCATATGCAACTTATTGCAACAAGTATATGCAACTTTTAGATGTTTTCCTTGTCTGTATGTCATTTTGATATCGTACTTTTGTAATCTTAAGAGCATTCTCTGCAATCCTGCTGGATCTGTATTCAGTGGCTTCTTTAAAATGCTTTATAATGGCTTATGATCCTACTATACATTAATAGTTTTTCCGTAGACATTTGATTAAATCTTTCACCCGCGAAAACTACAGCAAGGAACTCTGTTTCAATTTTTGCATACCTTTCTCGAGTCTTTGTCAGCGTTCTATAGAGGCATAAGCAACAGGAAACTCATCTTGTAGTATCCCTACTCCCAATCTTTGTTTGAAGCATCCGCTTGAAGTACCACTGGTTTTGTGACATCATAAAATTTCAGCAACGATCTGTTTCTAAAATCTCTTTTATTTCCTCGAAAGCAGCTTGATGATTCTCTGTCCAGTGCCACAGTAAGTTTTTCTTTAATAGCTCCCTCAAAGGTGTAGTTATTTCTGACATTCCTGGAATAAATTTTGCTAGAAAATTCGCCATTCCCAATAGACTTTGCACTCCTGCTCTGTTGCAGGCGCTGGCATATTGATTATTGCGTCAATCTTTGCTTGGTCAGGTTGCCCTCCTCTCGTTAATTTAAGTCCAAGGTATGTTACTTCTGTTACCCGAAACTTACATTTATCAGGGTTTAAGAGTCAGTCCTATTTCCTTTGTTTTATCTAGAGCTGCTTGTAGTCTCTTGTGCTCTTCCATGGTTCTTCTCCACACCAGTATATCTTCGATGTCTGTCTCCACTCCTGCCAAACTTTCAAACAACTGATTTACTCTCTTGTGAAATACTTCTTGGGCTGAATTTATCCAAAAAGGAATTCTTACAAACCTGTATTTTCCAAAGGAAGTATTGAATGTCGTTAATGTAGATCTTTCTTCATCTAAATGTATCTGCCAGTATTCTTTATTGGCATCTAATGTGCTGAAAGATTTTTCTCCATGTAATCTGGTTGATATTTGTTTTATGTGGGGAGTTGATATTTTTCTGTTTTTAAATATTTGTGAAGTTCTCTTAGATCTATACAGATTCTAAGTTTTACGTTCGGTTTTTCAACAATCACTGGTTTATGTACCCACTCTGTAGGTTTGTCTACTTTACAAGAATTTCTTCTGCCGCATTCTTTCGAGTTCAATTTTTAGTTTATTTCGCAACGTGGCTGGTATCTTCCTAGGAGCTTGTGTTACAGGAAATGCTTTAGGATCTATTGTCATCTGATAGCATTCTTTTAGTTTTCTTAACGCTTGAAAAACTTCTTCATAATTCTCCTTTATCTGCTCTGCTGAAGAAGCGTTGACTAAATTGTCTAACTTAAGACTATACGTGACTTTAGTTAGATTTAATTGTTTACATGTCTCCAAACTGAGAACTGTTGTATACAGACATAGTTTCAACGATTTAAAACTATGTCTCTATCTTTCGTTCTTGATGTGAGCAAGGCAACACGCTTGTTTCTTCGACGGGTATTTCCGCTCCTTCGTATCCCTTCAATTTCTTTTAGTTGATTTAATCTTGATGTCTTCGTGTATTTCCTTATTTGTCAACAACTGTTAGTGCACTCTGTTAGGCATAATATTGATTTTCCGCTTCTGTGTCTAATTTCACTAAAACTTTGCAGTCCCCAATTTTAATGGTAGCTATGGCTTCTTTTCTCTCCCCTCTTCACTTCAAGTGATTTACCGCTTCAATAACAAAGTCCTTGTTTAAATTTGTTGAAACTTTATTCAAGTGTTTCTTTGTACTTGAGTGACACAATTTTGTCATAGTGATTTTTTTTCTTACACTTGTAACATTCTTTGCCACAAGCTGGGCAATATCTTGCTTCATGACTTTGGCCACAATTTCCGCAATTTATTATGTTTAGTTTCATGGATTTTGCAGCTTCACTTTTAGTTTCTTGTTTTGATGATTTTCGTTTGTTGACAAGTTCAAGCTAATTGTTTTGTTTTGATGCGTGTATCTCTTACTAACTGCATCTACTTCATATTCCCCTAAGAATATTTTCATCTGTAGTTGAATGACTTCGTGAGATTGACATATATTTACAGCTTTGTCTACCGAAAGTTCCGATCCTTCTCGACGAAGTCTGTCTCGTACTATTTCTGATTGAATTCAGCTACAAGTTGGTTTGTAATCAAGTCGTTGGCGAGATTCTCAAACTCACATACTTTTAATTCTGTTAGGTAATGATTGATTGCTTCTCCCGAGTTGCTTCTTCTTGTGTTGAACTTGTGTCTTTCGACAATCGAATTTCTTTTAGGTTTACAATAGTCTTCGAACTTCTTGAACAATTCTGCTATTGTTATATCGTCTTCGTCTGTAGGATTCCCTCTATCGTCGACAACTTTTTGCCAGATCCAAGTATTGAATATCTCTCGTCCCGCCTCACCTATCGAGAACAAGAATGAATATTTTTCTTTCCTGGTTTTTCATGCCTTCGTTGCGTCCATGTAGAAATGCATGTTTCGTCTCAATTTTTTCATGTTTCTGCCACATTCGTTGCGTCAAAGGTCATTTCACCTTTTCCCGAAAAGCTAAAATCCATAGTATGTGTATGATCCCACTTCTGACACAAAGTAATGTTATCACTCCCAAACCTCATAAGCAACTGCCTAAGTTTCATTGAAGTTCCTATATTTATATAGAATTATTATGCTAATTGTCATGCATATATTACACATACGGTTTTTCTGCATAATTACTTGGGATAATAACATGATTTCAAACATGCCTCTTGATCCTTCAGTTTCTGTAAGAGATATCAGAGGAATGTTTGTTTTGTACTTCATTTTTTTACAAGTTTTCTCGCTACAACATTCATGTGAGGATACTAATTGTTCTGAAAAGGCAATTTTGCTGTTAAAAATGTTTTGTTCAATTTTATTCAAATGAAAGGTCTTCTTTTTTTATTATTCGTCTTATATTCGTCAAAAAGTCATTTGTTGCTTTCTTTTTTTAACGATGTTAACTGTGACAATTTTCGTTTCTCAGTTCTTTCCTTTTAACATTTACATTGTTAAGAATCATTCCGATTTTTTTGCATTTCACTTCAAATATGTCTATATAGATATTTCATACCATCTTAAGCAAATATTTATATCGTCAAAAAGATGTTTGGAAGTGGCTAATGCTTCTCGTGCTAATTTAGGTTTTTGGTGGTCGACTGATCAATGTATTCGGCCGTGGTGAGAATTTTAAAGCTGACACTTCTGTGGGGACGAACACAAAAACCTGTTACCATGCTGGCTTTGTAAAACCTCTTGGAAGGAGTTTGTATAAGAAGTACGTTTTAATTTAGTGTGCACGTACACAGAACCAAGTTTGAACGCTGATGGGGGCATGCTAAATATTTAATTATTCAGTCGAGCCCGACTGATATGTTTTGAAATTACAATTGCTTGCAAATACGTATAACTCCAGCAAAGATGACTGTATAAATAGTCCCCCCTTAGTCCCAATTAGCGTTGTAGCTTTGCCCCAGCGTATGCATTTTTGATTATTTGCGCACGCAGTTATTTGAAGCTATATCTTGTTAGTTCTATAATCGTTAGCACAGGATGATTTTGGTTGCTTATCTTTTTAGGTTTTCATTAGATGCGCGAAGGTCACTCATTGATTTTCCGTTCAGTTCTTTCATGGAATCCTCACAAAGTGTTTCAGCTGATCTTTCGGTAAGTTTTTAAATCTCGCAGGTGGTTGATTTCATGTTGAAGGCCTAATCGTAGTTTTATATTGTGCTGTGATTCCTTATTTTCATTTAAGCGTAAAATTTAATCATGGAATAACATATCGAATCCATCAAAAGTGGCGTTCATCAAAATAAATTATAGCTCCTCAACTTTAAATTCACAATACCTTCAGAACGACACTATTGGGTTTGAATATATAAAGAATATAATTTTACCCATGGATTTTTATCTAACGTGCTTAGAAATATAAATGTCTCCCAAAATGTGCTGCATTAATTTATTGACATACCGTAGATTCGCCATTGAAATCCATAATCACTGCCTAAAGGTTTATGGTTTTGTTTCGTATTAACCAAATGTTCACGAAGAATGATGGCGAGATTTAAGAAAAAAAGATGTTTACTGTGTTTGCACAGGCTTATGCAAACCGAGGAGACCTTTGGGAGAACTCGAGAGCAGATCAGTGCACGCTCGAGACCGAAGGTCGACGGTTGCACATGCTCGAGAGTTCTCACAAACGTCTCTGAGTTTTGCATAAGCTAGTGCAAACACGAAAAACGTCCTTTATATCTTTTATAAAATAACAATAATGCAAAAAGGCAAACATTTTAATTTTTCCTATAAAATGTGTTCATGATTGATATGCAAATTCTCTTTGACTGATTGATTGTTTAGATTGATTTTATTGGTTGAGCTCAGACGTGTTTAGCACAGGGTAATGCAAACTCAGCTCTAGACATATCAGCGCACGCGTTTAATTGTGTTTATTTTATAAAAGAATACGACATTCATGCTATAGGCAGGAATTTCTGCACGTGCTGTGTTGTACGCGCATGCAGTCAATCTGGTTTTGTACTGTAATCAATTCGTAAGTTTACTTTAACTTCTTGTTTTAGCTTCGGTCATTTCTGGGCGCGCATTCGCTGACTTGGGAAGGAGCATGGAGGCGCATAATGGGTATTCCACCGATCGCTTCTTTTGATATACGTCAACATGCTGGACGCTCTCTAAAGTCTTCTATTAAAGTAAGAAGTTATGCATCGAAGCAATGCTATGTATCATTATTCTTTTCATGGCAAGTCAGTATCACGTCACAGATTCGAATTTGACTAAAGTGAACAGCCCGGACTTTAGTATCTACTATGCAATAAGTACACGAAATGATTTCGCAATATCACGATACATCTTTTTAGTGCAGTGCAATTGCTTTCATAGTAGATCGTGGATGATTTAAGGTCCCATCTTCAAGAGTAGAAATCTACTTGAAAAATTATCATGATTATTTTAGCAACTGTAATAAATTGGGTACGCAGAGCGTATATGTTACCATAAAATTTATAGACGAACATAAATCAAACTTTGAAAATGTTCGAGATTGCAAATATGTGCTTTGAGCTCTCTCTTCAGTCAAATGACCGATGCGTTGGTCTCGATGGGAGACTCTGAGAGCGAGCTATATCTCGATGAACTTGAAATTTGTTTGCTCTATCATGTATTATTTTGTATACTTTCCCATGTGGGTTGTTGCCGTGTTAAGACTATGATGTCACTGACCTTTGCCGATTGCATACATTGAAAATGGTCAATTTTATTGGCGAAGAGAAAAATTCGATATTTCAAATATTAATAATACTCCCTCGTTATTTTCGCTTAAATTATACGAAAGCAATTGATATGTATTTTAACCATTGAATGCTAAAATCGATGATTTTTTAACGTTAAGTTTTCATCATAGAAGCACTTTAATTTAGCACAACTACATTGACCTTGTTAGAAAACACATTCATTTTGCTCACCAAATCACTTTTACTAGAGTTATATAACCAGACCAAATACAAGTTCGGTGCATCAAGTTTCATGTATTGTTCGACCAAACAATATATAATTGATTAACAGAGAGTCTCGTCACCAGGCCTTTCCCAGTTAAAAAGAACATACTAAGCGGCGCAGATATATTTAGAAATGTTTTTAGTTAATAATAACAAAACTGAGAAATATTTTTTTGTAATATTTAGTTATATATAATAATTAATAAGTGGCTGAACGAAGATGTTACTGTAATGTGATCTCGTGTAAGTCTTTTAGACAACGACAAGCTGCATCTGAGATTGACAAGATCTGTTTATTAATAATTTAATTTCATGTTTGATGTAAGCATTTTACAGTCGAACCTGTATTAAACGGCACCGTATTGAGCGGTCACGCTGCGTTAAGCGGTCACCCTGCGTTAAGCGGTCATATTGCAAAGTCCCGAAAATTTCATAATATAAATATTATTAAAGTGACCTTTATTAAACGGTCACCTCTATTAAGTGGACGCGGTCACCTTTTCCAATGTACCAAACGTAATTTTTCTGCGACATGTCTTTATATTGTATTTATTTTCCGTTATACTCAAAAGAGCAAACAATCTTTTCTGTTTGTATGGACGAATTACACCAGCAATTTGAACTTTTCTTACGTCCCTTCAGCAATTGAGAAGAAAACGTGTCTCCAAGAAAGGGATATACGCACGGAATTTATAAGTTGTAACCGCCTTCTCTGCTGACATTGATTATTTTTCAGCAGTTTGAGCTATGACATATTTATGTATACTATTTTTAATTTCTACTTCAAACTAAGAAAAAAATTGCTTTATATAGTGTTGTTATTTGGCATATATGTTAAGGAACAATACCGATTGGTTCAACTTTAGTTGTATGAAATATTACACGTACTCCGTCTCGTGATTTTCCTAAAGACCTGTATTAAGTGGTCAACCTGTATTAAACGGTCACACGAGAAATTATGGGGTGCCGTTTCAGTCATTATTCTCTATTTCAAAAATATATGCCTTGTTCAAAATATATATGCTATATTCCAAATGTATGTTCTACATCTCAAATATTCATGCTCTCTTACAAAATATATGTTCTTCCACGCACTTACATCATGACAAATATCCTCAATTTCGTAAAAGCACTATTGCCAATACACATTTAATATAAACGACAACTTTTTTGAAAATAGACATGTTTCGACATCTCATGATGCCATCTTCAGTATGAATGAAATAATAGGTGATACAGGGTTTATATAAAAGTAATATGATACATAAATTAGAAAAATTAGACACCTCATTCACCCTTAAAATCAAAGAAGCACTCCACATTAACAAAACTAACCCTGACCTCAATGTTCAAGTTTTTAAATTCAATACAACATTTAGTTTATAATACGCTCGGACGCTCCTCATTATATTATCTTATTTCCTTTTATTGTTCTAATTTATGTATCATATTACTTTTATATAAACCCTGTATCACCTATTATTTCATTCATACTGAAGATGGCATCATGAGATGTCGAAACATGTCTATTTTCAAAAAAGTTGTCGTTTATAACAAATATCCTCATAATTCTTGTGACACTCGGTTTGTGACTAACATTATGTCTGTTAATAACATGAAATATTTTGAAAAAATTGTCCGTTCAACACAGGTTTTTGAGTTATTATTTTACAATTTTGGTATCCATGTCCGCTTGATAGAGGTTTCATTACTACAAATTAAACGAGATTTAATTCGGGACTTTACAAAGTGTTCGTTTAATGCAGGGCCGCTTAATACAGGTTTGACTGTAGTAGGGAAAGGAGTAAACTAAAATAGCTTCCCGCAAATGAAACGATTTTTGGATTTATAGAAAATTACATTAATTCATGCTACATCCTGGTAGGATATAGAGATAAAAACCTTTTCAAGGTGAAAATTTAAATAAAGGGAAGCGAAAACCAATAATGTGAATTTTCGATTTTTTTCGAAAATTATATAAAAAGGGAATCCCACTCCAAAATAAATGTTGGCTCACTTAAAAGATATTACTATTTGTAGTTATTCGGTAAAATATTTATGCTCACTTGCTTAAAATGATGGTGAAATAGCGAACAAAAGATTGCATTTCATGCAATTTGATGCCATATATTGATGCAGACACGGTTCTTTCCGCGGCATCAATTTGCGACGTCACGTCATTTCGTGATTCGAACGGAAAATTTTAAAAATTTTACAATTTCAAAGAATGAAGCTCTGAGGGTGTGAGTAAGAATTGGTTTATCAATTATAGTCAGCCGACATGTGAAATTCTTGGCTACTAATTTAAGCTAAAAGAAGTCCAGTTGCTACAGTTCTGAATCTTCTGGTCTCGAAAGCAAGAAAAGGAGAACTACGATATCAATCGAGATACGAACGATGTGCCTGCTATTCTTCTGGGAAATGACGATTGGCTCCCCAACAACATTCTACAAGCTGACGATAAGCTATTTTATTGTATTATTTTACGTTAATGGCCATCGTACGCAGTGTTTCAATATTGTTTACATTAAATATTACAAAGTATTCTGACGAACCCATCGATTTAGGCACACGCAGCAGCAAATTTAGACATAATGGAACTAAATTAATTGCTGACTGACCTTTTCGATTTTGTTTTGAATTTTTGATTTCATGGCGGCCCACTCATTTCTGTTTACTAACTGCAATTATCAGGCAGTTATGGCACACTAACACACCATATAACAAAGTGCGTATTTAAATCGCAACATCCAAAATAAAAAGTATTGGGAGGAAAGTACCAACACGACTACAACTCAAGTAAATTTCCAATCATCATTTTCCAATAATTGCAGGTACACCATAAATTTCGTGGTTCCCGTTTGTACATGAACTGAAGCTAACTCGTCTTAGCTCAAATTAGTAGCCAAGAATTTAATTTGTCTGCCGACCATTATCGATAACTTCATCAAGACTCTCACCCAAACAGATCGATAAACTTTCTTTGAAAAAATTGTAAATATTTTTGCTCATCTTTGCTTTGACTTTATATAATGTGTCAAGAAAAATTATGGAGTTTGCCTTTGGAATGACGCAATGACGTCACAAACTACATCAAAATGGCGTCAAATTGCACAAAAATTCAAACTTTTATCAGCTATTTCTCCTTTATTTTTAACAGTTGAGCATAAATATTTCACCGAATTTTGATTTTCGAGCGCAGTTCCCCTTTAAATAGAGATGAATGATATGTAAGACCGTTGGAATCTACTTTGTTTCAGTATAACATAGTATATAGCCTGCGTACAGGTACCCATTAAAATCGAAACCATTAAAATCGAATGCGAAATTTTATCAAAGGAATTTAAGTATACATTTTACACTTTCTTAGTGTAAATATTTTCATTCAACTTCTACAATTAATATCTTTTCTTTAGCATACGTTAGTTATGGATGGAAGAGATAGTTCAGAATATCCAACTCAAGGACATTACATAAAAGTAACTCAGGTATGAGTTTGTTGTACAGAAAGCTTGGATTGTCAAAGAACATGCGTCATTGTTGATCGAATGTTGTTTCGTGTTAGCTACTGCAGGAAATTGATTCTTAATCTATTTGCTGAAATCTGTACTTTTCGCATTTGATTTGCAATTGAATATTTATCATGGTATATCTTCATTGAAGTTAAGTGGCAGTGCACGCTAATAGGCGAAGAAAATTAAAGTTTATTTTTTGAAATATACAATTTATAAAAGCTAGCTTATTATTTCTCTATTAATCACATCGTAACGTTGGTAGAAGTGTATACCTGCTTGCCTATAATGAAAAAAACGTTTTTTAAAAACTAAAACATGGAAAAGCTCATCGCACGAGGTCATTGAAATCTCGTGTTAGTTTTCATCATACGACATTTGTATGAGCTTTTACCAGTGTTGTACGTAGCTTACCAAACTTGGCGTGTTTGCCTTTTCTTTACGAATATCGTTAAAATGACAAACATTATTGAAGTCTTAAAGAAGAAGTTTAATCACATGCACGAGAATGCCGTAGCTAGCCTTGATAATTGTGGGGATATTTGGATATTTATGTTCTGCCGTGTTAAGTTCGTTTGAAAACAATTTTTTCTGCAGATTAAAACATGTTTAGTATTGCCCATTCCCATCATCGAAGCTAGCTAAGGAACTGATGGAAAATTACCATAATGCTCATAGTATGAATACTTGCAAGCGTATAATGCAACTATCAGCGAGGACAATGTCTTCAAGAGTTTTATCTGTACTGTAGTTGTTTTGGAAGAGTCTTGGATTTTTCAGTTGATCGAAAAAATACGTTCACGTTTATGCTCACTTACAATATCATACTTATACGAAGGTTATATCAATGTAACTGACGGTTGAGAAAAACTGAATTATAAGTTTGATAATTCATTTCAAATTTTATTTTCGAGCAACTTTTGCTGTTTAAACAGGAGTATGCTGGCCTATTGGGTGATACGAATTTTATAAAAGGCGAGGGAGAATTAAAACTCTTCGGTAGCGGATCGTGGGATACGGTTTGTAGCTATACTAAATCTGATTAACGTTTAGAATGTTGATGAATCTAAATATAACCATCACGTATCTATAGGTATTCTCAATGACAGCAAAGGCTGGGTTTCTAAAGTCATTCTCGGAAGGTTCTCATATCAACGACAGGTAACTAATTTTTTTTATATTTTCTTTGCTGTCTTCCATGTTTTTGTGCCATGTTATTTTTCTGTCACGTGGGTGTTTCCTTTCTCCGCCATGTTGTAGAAAGTCCCGTATATTGCTAAATACATTTATGTTGATTTCACGCTCTAATGAGCATCGGTTTTCTAAAATAACCTACCAACATGGCCGCTCTGACATCACATAAAACACACGTTGAAAATGTTATATGAGGAAATTTGACAATTATATGACATCATTATCGTATTAAATATAAACCAATCACGTGATTAAATTGCACATATGTGTTTAAAATGTTTTTATCACTCAACTGAGGCAAAAACGTTTGTAAATTTGTTTGTCAACGGATTTTTGAGATGATTTCTTAGATTAGGTTTGCGCCGTCGATGGTTTAGCGAACGAATTTAGATTTTCTTTCGCACAAATATTTCAGCCTTCTCGCCTCCAAAACATAAGGCTTCGATTTTTACTACTTAACGCAATGACAACTAATGAAAGTTCTTTCAGTCTCTTGTGTTCTTCATGTGGAAATGCGAGTTTAATCAGTAATGCGATGATGTGTTTGGTAAACTGGATTAACAGATGCTCGTTTTATGTTGAGTTCACGCCGAGTTTTGAAACAGTTTCTTGTGTATACTGCATTGAATGCACTGCCTTACCTACTTACAATTGAGAAATGGTTCCAAACTTCCAATCAATTAATGGACGCACATTTTCCCAAAACAGACACGTTTCAAAGGATGATTCAATTGTATTTATTTTTCACATCTCTGTGTTTATCGATATTTTGATTATGCTCAGTAGCGTAGCCAGCCTGCATGTTTTGGTCCTGCTCTGTAAATTTTAGAAAATTAACATTATTCATTTCTTTAGAAGTCTGTTGTTTTTACAGTGAGTGAACACAGAAAAATTAACATAGCACGACCAAATTTGTTGGCTAGCTACGCCTTAGATTACGGTCATGTATCTTTTACAAAGCTATCTACATGTACGCACTGCGTCTATAACCATTAAATTGTCTCTATTAGCACGTTTATCAATTACATTAACCTTTGTCGAAGTGTTCTTGTCATGTAAACGTAATGAGCTCATTTATTACATATGTAATTAAACATGGTACACAACTTCACTCTTTAGATTTTTTATTGGTGGACCCTCTCTATAAGGGGATTCAAGACCTTTGGAATTGGACCGAGGAGGCAAAGTATGATCTTGACATAGCGCGTAGTTTGTTCTCTAAATTTGATTACCACGTGACTTGCCTTTTTTATTTTGCTTACGTTATTTTTATATTCTATATCTTTCCAAAAATGTTGTATCCTATTTAATTGAACAAGTTTATCGAGAGAGAAATCGTAGATAAATTTCTTATAGCAGGTAAAATGTGCAACATTTTATTTGTCAAGATGATATTTTTGAAATGGCATATGCACCGTCAATTTGAATTACAAATGGGTTGTGAAAACGCAGGCCCTTGAAAAATAAACGATTTGCGAATTGTTTTTTATTTTGATGTAACAACAAAGTACATAAATAGAAATTCAAGAAAATTCAGTGAGACACCATCGAAGAAACTAAAAATTTCGAATCTGTGATTCATTCATAAAATATCCTGGGCCTTTGCCGAAGAGATTCTGAAAACATGGCAAAGTTGTCGTATTTTCAAGCTCACGTGTTTACATTTAGGGTATGGATTTATATATTAATGTAAATGGAAAGGGCTTATCAATGAATATCAATCAATGTCCTGTTGTCTTAAAGACTATGCCTCCTTTTACAATGGTGTTGTGAAAGCGATTTTGATGGAATCAAAATAACATTGCAGCAGCTGAATTGCGTTATAGTCATAGAAGTGTTTATAATTGCAAGATATGTTAATATTTATGTAATATTAAATGCAAATGAATTATGAATACAAGTGCAATGCTAAAAAATATTTAATTTACGCATGTACTGTATAAAGAAATGCATTTGACTCGTAACAAAACAGTCATTTGTCCCCGTTGCACGGAGCTTACGGTTCTTTAAGAAATCAGAAACTCATTGGGCAAGATTGCGAGAACATTTTAGCTCAAGATATTACATAGTATAATTGGTGGTCAATTAAATCATTTTTTTAAATAATCGAACCCAACTACTCTAACTGCTGCTGTTTTAGCTTGAACTAAGTGGATCATGGAATAAGGGCACGTGCTTACGAAAACTGGGTCGCAACCGATATTGCTATCTATAAAGGAACAGTTCCGAATACCAACGGTTCCGAATATGAAATACCCAGTTTTTACAATACCGACAGTAAGAAACCCTAATTTGCTGAAGGAAGTGCTTCACTGCTTATCAACTGTGTAGAACGTGAAAACATCATTGATAGACAATTTTCGACGAATTTTCATTAACATATTTATCCTCGTTGATGATGGTTGCTCTGCCTATGATACAATTGTCGACATTGTATAGTAAATGATCGTTTTCAAACTATGTGAGGTTTCAGTCGAATACTAAAACTGAAAAATAGAACAAGGTGTTAAATTGATTGGTTAAAATGGTTGAATGCATGCATGGTAAATGTAGACTGCAAAGTACCTGATTTACTGAGGTATTTAAGTAAGGGAAAACGTTTATGATTTTAACAAAATGGAGGTTTTCATTTCGCCATATTGCTTTGACAAATCATAATCTTTGCGCACAATCATAATCAAATCAAGAAGCGCAAAGTTTGTTTGGGAATAAAAGGGATAAAGACAATTATAAGCGCAGGAATAGCACCCCAGCAAGTATTAGGAGTGTTATACTTATCTAATAATGCCTTCGTTATTTAGTTTGTCTTCGAATAGAATATTACAAATGGTAATTCTTAACGAAGTTGTCTAATACAAACTCTAACAATCTTGAAGGCAATGGCCCATGTTTAACGTTTTATTTGCAACAAATTCATACTGTAATACCATTTCAATCGTGATAGAAGTGCTGATGGAGTTATTCAAAGGCGAATGACTTTACTCATATATACGAAGAATTTTACTGCATAATACTCTTGCAACCATCTCTGCTCAACAAACTTTGAATATTTCAATACCAGAATGATATTTTGTAACTAGCTTTGTTTCGATAATATGCAATTTAAAACAGTTTTCACCTTGATATTGGTTGACCAGCGAATAACAAGGTTACACTCCTTAACTGACTCAGTTTATTCAATATTTTTTATGCAATTTCACAATTCTGATATTAATAAAATAGAAAACTTATTGTAGTGTTTTGTTATAGTTTGGGACTTAAGGAAATCTACGCGAATTTTTTTGTCTCGTCTTATTGGTAAAAAAAGTTAATACTTTTCTTTTAACAATTTTTTTTTCTTCCCAAAGATGATTCACTTGGAGGTGATTTGTTTTGGTCTGTTGGACTTCATTTACATACACCTTTGCCATTTCGTCCTAGTGGTTTGGCAGAGAAATTTCGAACGCATATGTTCGTCACGGCTGGAAACCTTTCACAATACAATGAAGGTAAACCCACTCCATCACCATTAGGAAGCACGTGTTATATTGTCGCATTTACATTTTTCAAATTGTACATAGTCACAGCTCTATGATATATCTTATACAGCGTTGACTGTTTTAACTTGGAAAATTTCGAGTACTAATGTGTTCTTTTGTCAGTTTGATGATACAAATATCAATAAGTAGTTAGCTATGTGTCGCCGTAGCTAGTGTAAACAGTGCAATAAGACAAAATCTCTGACAAAATTTGACTTTGTTCGCGCTTGTGGTACTTGAGAAAAAATGATTCTTGGTCGGTTGTTTAAATGCAGAGGTCGTTCCAAATGATGCGGCTATTAGAATAGCTAGTAGTAGGGCAAGGCATACTTCATCTTCTTTTACGAAAGAGCGCATGATCGCCGTTTCTAATTTAAAAAAGAACAAGAACATTGTTTTTTGTAAACCAGACAAAGACTTTGGTGTAGTGATTCTAAACAAAGAGAATTATAAAAGTAAAATGTTGAATATTTTGAATGACAACAACAAATTCTGCGCTCTTGTTAAATTTCCAGATTACGACAAAACCTCTACTTTAGAAAGGAGACTGCAAACACTTCTTTTAAACTTGAAAAAAAACCAAATCAAATTAGTGAAACTTTTTATAATTTAGTCCGCCCAACGGGTGCAGAAAGACGTCGTATGTATGGTTTACCTAAAATCCACAAACATGGCACTCCCTTTCGACCAATTCTAGCCATGATTAATTCAGCTTATCATGAGTTATCCAAACAATTGTCAGTGGTACTTTTTTCCGTTTTATAGAGGTTCTCAACATATGCTATAAAAGACTTTCACATTACGAGTGCGCTAAAACCACTAAATTTGTCTATGTACATATATATCGGATATATATATATGTGCCACCAACGCAAGTTGGGTTAAATTGACCCGGAATCTGGGAAACCCTGGTCAAGATATTTGACTTGGATTTCCGGGTTAAATTTTTAACTCGGATTATGGTTAAATTTGACATGGCACAAGGTCAAAACTGACCCAAGTTACAGGTCATTTTACTCTTTAAACAAAATGGCTGCTTGTCACCAGAAATTGAATGATTCCAATGTTTTTATTAAACAACAGTAAATTTGTGCGCTACAAAACACCAGCAAATGTGTTTAATCATGTCCAAAATCGACAACTCTATCAATACAGCAGTACCTAAGAACCTAAACTCAATACCATGAACCTAAAACCAACTGTAAAACGTAAAATCTAAAAAGCAGCTAAAGCTAATTCTCAGATGGTCCTGCAGTACCAGGGATAATGAATGTCTCCAATAGAAAACGGTTTAAAGCATACTACTATAACTTTCAGCAAAGCTTTGTTGGTCATGATTTTCTCTACTACCAAGTGCAAAATCATGAGGATCTAGATCTTCTGGCTGTATCCAGAGTTTTGGTAGACATAAACCAATCTGTAAGAAAGGATAATGAAAACTGAAGCATTTCAAATCTGCAATTTGCTTTAATTTGTTATGAAGCTAAAGTCTAATCTGTATGACAAATAGTTATGGTTTTTTTTTGCATAACGTTCGAATACACAAATTGTTTAAAAAAATAAGTGCTTACCTTATAAAATATCAACCAACGATGAAAGATTTCCATATATAAATATTCCTTTCAAACATTTTTCCATTTAAACCTTGCTTCGCTAATGTAAAAACACTTCACAAGTTCACAACAACATAAAAACAACCAAATAAGCGGGAAATCGCATATCGTCATTATGATTATTACATGACGTATGCCGTATACAAAATGAATATTATTTAATTAATTTTCAGGAAAATTGGAAATTAAACGAGACTTACCTGGAAGTCGAAGTCATAATTCCAGCCGCAGTCATGAACTTTTTTATCCATTGAGAAATGGTCTCCCGAGAGACCGACTTGTGAGGTCTTATGCAACTAATTAGTAGCTACTGAATTTTGTTACTTAGAAAATATCACAAAATCAGTTGCCTGTATGCAGATTGCACTATAATAGATGAATTTCGCTTAACCACAATTTAGTGAACATTTTTGCGATTGAACGTCAATGCTTGCAAACAACAACAATTTACTCACGAACTCCTATAATTGATTGAAGTATATGATTCTTTGTTCAAATGTTTAGACGTACCTTGGCGAAAGAGAATCGAGGCCTTAGGTGAGAACGTAAGATGGTCATATGGTGTTGGCCTTGTCCTTCTGGCTGGAATCGCGCGGTTTGAGTTGAATTACTGTTTATTGGGTTGGAACTCTCTTACTGATAGGTTAGACAATGATAAAGAAATAACCTTAAAATGAGTAAATACCATGGTGAATGGTCAAAAATACTAACGTGTTAACTCTTAAAAGAACAGTTTAAGCCAGAACAATAAACCAACAATTATAAAGGAACTTTTTAAGCTAAAAATACACAATGTATTTCGGCAGACTACTCGTCAGGTGTCAACGTCTGCTAAATGAGAGCATCAGAATCATGCGATATTTATGATATTACTTAAAGTCAACGTCGTTTCTAAATTGAGAGTTGACGCTTAAAACAGGGATAAATGAAACACGTAATCGTAATTGTCTCTGATGTGCTTTGGTATAAACGTTACGTAGATGACACTTTTTCTTTGTTTCGTAACAATGAAAATCGCAAATTATTTTTACAAAAACTTTCTTCTCTTCATCCTGCATTAATTACACATCTGAGCAAGAGACAAACGATCAATTAGCTTTTTTAGATGTTCTTGTTCATAAACGCAATGGTCAATTCTTAAAAAGCATTCATTGAAAAGCAACTTTTACTGGTTTGTACACACGCTTTGACTCTATCTCTTCGCACAGAGAAAAGATTTTTTTAGTGAGGTGTTTGATAAAGCGAGCGCATAGATTGTCCTCGAGTGAGTTTATTTGGAGTGATCTCAACTCATTAAGGAAAATTTTTGTTTCGAATGGATATCCGGCAAAATTGAAAGAAAAACTTTTCTTATCAACTTTGAATGAACGAGATAAATCTTTTGGACCGGCCTAGTGCCCTGTATAGCTTTAGACTTCCCTGGATGGGCAAGGCCTCAAATGATATCGAGAGGGAAACTACAAATATTACTGACAGTTTGTTTTTCGCCTGCAACGTTGTCTTCATATTTTCCAAAATAAAAACATTTTACAACCCACCCCCGAAGAGTCTCTGCCTACGCACATGTCAAGCAATGTAGTGTATGAGTTCAAAATGTGATTGTGATGCTCGCTATGTATGAAGAACTTCTCAAAGTTTGAGTGATAGATAAAACAACATGTACAACTTCTATTAGGAATAAAACTGTTCCTTTAAGACCACAACCAAAACGCAACTTTAAAAGTGAAAATTTGATTCTATGTGATTCAGCGATTGGAAAACATCTTTTGAACAACACTCACTGTGCCAATTCATATTCTGATCATAACTTTAGAGTTATTTAAAAATGTCGCTCATTATTTCAGTTAAGCGTCATGGAGTCTGTATTAACTAAGTTGGCTAATGCCGTCCTCTGCCGACAGAAAGATTATGTGTTTCATTTATCCCTGTTTTAAGCGTGAACTCTCAATTTAGAGATGGCGTTGACTTTTTGTAATATCATAAACATCACATGATTCTGAAGCTCTCATTTAGCAGACGTTGACAACTGACGAGTAGTCTGCCGAAATGCATAGTGTCTTTTTAGCTTAAAAAACAGTTCTTTTAAAGTTGTTCATGTTGCCGGAACCACCCCTCCCCCCCCTTTTCGCAATAAAAAATATATTTAGATTAAGCAGAAGTTAGTCCCCGCACTTCATATGTTGCTCCGCCGTCCCTGGAATTGTTGGATTATTGTTCTGGCTTAAACAGTTCTTTTAAGAACTATAACGTTAGAATTTGACCATTCACCATGGTACTCATTTATTTTTTAAATCTGTCACCACGACAAAGACTTTGTTTTACGATAAAGGAATACTTATCAATTTTTACAAAGATTAGGCTTCCTTGCTGACGAATTATGAAATATTTCGTTTTCCCATGTTCAGTGGCCAGTTTAATCTTCATGACGTGTTCAAAAGCTGGCATTTGCATCTCTGCAAATTTTACCACCGTAATGTTTTTTGGCGAATGAAAATGTTTGTTATAAATGTTATTCATAAAGTTTGCCATATCTTGTGGAAATGAAAAATCGCAAAGTAAAATACTGAATTGCCATTGTTAAATTCGTTTAGTCTTCCATTTGATCTTCACACGATATTTCATGCCACTGATGTTAGTCATGTTACAGCAAATGATTTGCTAGACGCGAATTGTATGTTTACTTGTTTTAAATAAGTGATTAACCTAGTAAATATTTTCAGAACAAGCATGTAGATACCATATCTGAATAAGATTTTCATTAAAAGATAAGTTTCATCTTCAATTGAAGACAATTGAAGAGTAAAAAAATTTGGTCAAAGTGGAGGTAGTGTATGGACTATTTAATCAAAATTGTAAAAGGAACTAGCAAGATAATTTGAAAATCTTGCATTGTCCGGTAGTGTGCAAGTATTAGTGCATGGCATGGTAAATACATCAACTGAAAAGTCACTTAATTTTTTTTAGTATCAATCCTGGTTTACAGTTTGGTGTTGGCCTTAACGATTTATAAGAGCAACTGACTCATGGATTCAAACAGTTGCTTTGTTTGTTTTGGTTCCTCGTGTACAGTATTGCTCAACATTATGGCTCAAAACTATGGCTCAACAGTATGGCATCAGATTAAACGCAGTGTGTTACAGTTTTCACATACGGTGTTATCAGATCGGATTGATCTCATTGAATCCAAAAGTCTTTCTATGTTCTCTCTTCGAATCCAATATATTCCTAAAAGTATTGATTGCATCTGATCTGTTCATGTTTGATTTAATCCTAAAAAAGCGTTGTCCGATCCAATCTGTTTCTATGAAAGAAGGAAGTTTGGATCCGAAGTCTGAACATATGTAAAAAAAAGTTGCAAAATGTCTTGCCATGCTTGAGTGTTTATGACCGAAAATTATGGCAGTTTTCTGTAATTCCTGTAAAAATAACATTTTATTGGGTTGCTACCTTCTTAATTTAATTGTGCTATTTCACAATTAGATCTGAATCCCAATGTCGAGTGTAGACATGTGTAGACATAACCTTGAATGAGATTAACTATGAATAAGATTAATTAAGGTATGCGTAAATTTGTAATGTGACATGTAGACTTATACTTCAAACATGCAAGTTCTCTGGCTTCTCTTGGTTTTATTTTTTAACATTGTAAAATACGGATACACCGTTTCCTTTTCGGTGGATAGACTTGAGACAAGTGAAGACACATATCATTCACAGGGTACAAGTGCTGTTTTGAGTACGCCTTACGTCGTTTTTCAGCACAAAATTGCTGCAGGCTCAGAAAAAAAGGCAGGCAACTTTAAATGACCTTCGGTCTCAGGCTTGCACTGATCTGCTCTCCAGTTCTCCAAAAGGTCTCCTCGGTTTGCATAAGCCTGTGGAAACACAGTAAACATCTTTTATTTCTTAAGTGATGCATAAATTTTGCTGCTTTCTAGCTTTCTGTAGTATAATTCCCCAGTCTTTGCACCTGAGACTACAATACCAATCACATGCTCAAGCTCCCTGATGGTTATATGTGCTTATTTAAGTAAATATTTGCAAGACTTTTTGACGTGACTTGTTTTCCTCCTAGGAGACCGAATAGTCATAGAAATATTAAGTATGAAGACTAGAAATTCAATTTCTTGGGTTGGTTCCAATATCGACTTGTGTTTGTGTATACAAAATCCTAAACTGCAAAATGTTTCCACAGTGTTTGTAATGTTTTTTGACCAGCAGCGTAATCATATTATCCAACAAGGGAGTGAATCATCAATATTGCCCATACAAATGTGACCACTGATCTGATAATAGACTGGATATAGCTTCTATAGGTATCAAAAGTGAAACCTAACTATATGTGCAAAATTCATTTCCGGTTACCCATTAGAGATACAAATTACTTTAGAAATGTATAGCAGATAACGTTTACAGACAGGGATTTTCGAATATTTAAGGGCTTTCGAATAACGAATTTAACCTAAGTTTATTTTTAACTCTAGGTTAAGTTAACCAGCTTTTGAACAACCGACCCCTAAGGTTAAGTAATTTAACTCACCTAGCGAGAAGGGTTAAAGTTAACCCTTGTTTTAACCGGGGCTTAAGATAACTTAGTTTTGAGCAACGCAAACTAACCAGGGTTAAAATTTTAACCTTAGGTTAGGCTTATTTAACCCTGGGATAGCGTTAAACGGCTTTTGAACAACGCGCCCATGATCTAGAATATATTTCAATGCTTAAAAATTGCTGTAAGTACCTTTATTTTGTCATTCTTTACAATCTAGAGATTGTTGTATGTTACTTTTGCCGCGACTCTATGAGCGGGGTACTATTGGTGTTGGAACAAACAAATATTCTAAGCTTTTGTCCTTAATTTTTTCTTAGTTTTAATTTCTGTTTTTATTTTAGAAAGATAATATTATCACCACGCCTTGCTATAGCATTTGGATATGGTATCCATCAATGAGTAAGTATGGTTGTTATTGATACAACATGCGCAATTGCATTGTATACAGAGCTTTAGCACAAAAAATTGTATTCCCTGAAAATAAACTACCATCAGAAGTTGAAAACACCTTTCTGTTTTATTTCATATTGATATAACAATAGCTACTGGTTTGAAACAATTTACTTCTGCTTAAAGACACGACAAACATAAACCAAGTTAATACTGTGATGGTGATCAAGATTATAGTAATAGACCCAGCTTTTCCACTGATTCTGAATTTATGACTGCAATACCATACATTGCGAACTACATTGCCAGATGCTGTCAAAGAAACTGCTGGACCGAAGCTGTTGGTTCAAAAAGTTACTAAAGTGATTTCTGCTTTCTTGTCTTTAAAAGACAGGAGTACTTAGTTTCAAACCAACAGCTATTGTTATATAAGTCTACAATAAGACAGAAAGGTGTTTTTAACTTTTGATGGCAGTTTACCACATTGGAAAAAAATTCCTGATGCTACAACTTGAATAAACTGCGACTGATACATTTATGTTAGATACTTTTATCACTACACCTTGATAGCATTTGGATATGGGATTCATCGATGATGGTTACCATACTTACTCATTGATGAATGCCATATCTAAATGCTATCAAGGTGTAGTGATAATCTTCAGGGGCAGATCCAAGATTTTTCCTGTTACTCAAAATGGCTGAACGCCGGAGGCGTTCGTTTCCCAGGGGTCCGGCAAGTATGCCTCAAATATAAGAAGGCAATGCATTCAAGAAGTTAAGTCTCTGCTTGGTGAGCTTTATGTCATAACTGACAAACACTTTTTGACAGAAACCCTGCAAAGAGTCCGTGACGTCCTCCAGTACACCAGAAAACACCATCCAAAAGAAAATGATGTCTCTTTAAAAGATAAATTTCTTTCACCCAAAAAGCAAAAAACCACAGAATTGTGTGTTAAAAAGTTGTTTAGACGAAAGACAAAAGACAATGTTTGCAAAAGAGTTGGATCTGTAGCTGAATCACGAAATGCGAAGGTTTTCGTACATGATGACAAGTGTATTGGAAAACGTAAGAGATCTACGCTTAAAAATCAACCTGTCGTTAACAGAAAAAAAAACGAAGATAACAACACAGGAAGACAAAAAACACCGTGGAGTTTATGAAGTGTGGACAACGATAAGTAACATGAACCTTGGTTATGACCAGAGAGACATTTTGCTAAGTGGGAATGGATGGTTGAATGATGATCATGTTTGTGCTGCACAGGAACTTAAAAGAACAAAACACTGGAGTTTCCGGTCTTAACTGCATTGCAGCAATGAAACATTGTAGCAGATTTCTACATGCACCACATAATTTAAACAAAACTATTCAGAGACATAACATTGATCTACAATGGGTGACATCAAGTTCTACTTCTGGCAACGTAGTGGTGTATGAAAGCTTGTACAGGACAGTCAATGGCTCAGTTAAAAGACAGTTGGTTTTGATGTACAAAAGATTATGCAACAATGATGGTTCTCTCGAGATCATAGTTAATCTACAACAACGTCAAAAAAGAACTTCGGATTGTGGTCTTTTCTGTATTGCCAATGTTGTGGCTCTAGAGCATGGAATCGATGCATCAACAGTCACATTTTGCGCCATGCTTTTCTCGAAAAAAAATTGAAATGTTTCCCCATGAAATTAAGGAAAATGCCAGCTCAAAATCTGTATATGTTATCAGTATACATTGTTTTGTCTACGGCACATACCTAGTGCACCAATGGTTTATTGTGTTATCTGTGACAACTGATTTAATCATGGATCGTCTCAACTTTGTGTAAGAATCTCAGAAAAAGAAGCAGCAGCAATAGCCAGAATCACCATTTATCTGCATCGACTGTGAAAAGATAACTCAGTAACTCACTGGATGGTAATGCTTTAAATTATGATCAAGTATCAAGGCTTCTAATAAGTTTTAGTGTCAGTGCATGGTAGGGCAGTGCCTGTCAATCGTAAACAGCATTTTTTCCAATTTTTTTAGCTGGGTTAAAATGTTTTCAACAACCAGACATTTTTTAGATACTGAAGAAACTTTTCTTAGGTACTGGAAAACATTTCTTAGATATAGGATTGATATTGATAAGTACCGCATAACCTGATAACTATTGCAAAGTGCAATGAACAGTGCAGACCATGGTTCATTTAACCACATAGTTTTTGAGGTAAAACTGAACTGGTCTTATTTTTTAACATAATTTATTTTCACGAATGTCATGTTCATTTGTTTACACATTTGCACATTTCACGAAAAATACGTACATATAATACATATGATATTTGATATATTGGAATTTCATTGAACATTTCTTAAAAATAAACTTGAAAACCTCATTGCTAAATACCACATGGCACATCCCTGCTGCTTACTATGCTTAAGATGATGTAGTTATACTATATTTAAGCTTTAACATTAGTCTTCATTCTGTAGTTAAAATGTTTGTATATGTAATAGCATGGTTTCGAGTGCAAGTTGGAAAAAACTTGCACGAGTGAGTTTTTCAAAGACTATCAAAATTGCACGAGTCCGAGTCCAATTTGAAGTCTTTGAAAAATTCACAAGTGGATGCAGAGGCGTCACTAGAACTTTAATTGGGGGTAGTGCATATTCATATATTCTGTTGTGCCCTACTGATTTCTTTTGAAAGTGAATTGAATTTCAAAAGAAATCAGTAGGTCACAACTATTGAGTTCTATAGTAACTGGAGCCGCTATCTCAAGCGCGGCCTTAGATATCTGATGTCGCCAAAAAAATGGCGGATTTCGTCCGTTGCCGCTGAGACTTACCGAAATTCACCGCTTTTCCGAAAATTTCACAATTTCCCACTCCCTCCTGAGGAAAGAGTGAGGAAAATGTATGTATGTATTTGGGATTCGGCAAGCAATTTTTTGATGAAAATCAAGGTAAAAACCTTAAATTCATAACATCGAGTCAACTGTGGTTGTCAGTTATCTGCTCCTACGAGGATGCATTTATAACTATCAACGAAAGAGCTATATGTCGGCTACACATGTACGAATGCAGATGTGCGTCGTTTTCTTACCAGCGTCAAACTTGTTTGATCGATTAAACTGTTAAAGTCTATACAAAAAAGTATATCATAGTTCATCTCCACGGTTCACGAGAGAGAAGTTAGCTTATTTTTTATCATTGCTATTTTGCTTCTTTTCATGCAATGGGCAATGGCTTTTTTCGCCACAATTGTAGGATTTTTACTTGTTTCTTTAATAAATAAAGTAAGTATTAAATCTCTGGATATTTACGGATTTTCTGTAATTGAGTTTCATATTAAATTTCAAAAAGACTCAAGTCTGCATAGGTTTGGTAAATGAAAACAAACAATATTGTTTGGAAATTACTTTAAGTAACCTTTTTGTGAGGTTCTGAAGTGCAACTGCATCAAATACTTGTAAAGTTACATCAGTAGTTGATAAGTATGGCGGTCGGTCGCAAAATTAGGCTCTCTGCGAATGTTTGTATATTTCTCTGCATCTATGTGTCTTTTTCAAACTACAAGTCCTTACATCTACGGACGAACACTTCACTAAATGACAGCGATGTGTACTTTGTTTCAAAAAAGAGCTGCAGGATTGAAATTTCGGGAAATTTACGACAACAGAGGAGTCGCTACATCGCCCGGCAAAATGGCGCTGTTTCAACGAAGTTAGCTAAACGAAGAGAACGCAGCTGACTTTCTTTGCTCGGCTGCCATCATTCTGTCTGGCGACGTTTGTCCTCTGCCTGGTCCTCCAAACCATGTGGACTTTGATGTTCCATCCTTCAGTATCAAAGCCAATGGCCTGTCTATAGCTCATCTCAACGTTAGAAGTATAACCGGTAAAATCGACCAACTAAATCTTGTTATGAGTAACATCGAAGGCCCCGATATCTGGACATTCTCGGAGACCTGGCTCTCACACAGTATTCAGGATGAGGAAATTCACATACCGGGATACAATTGTGTAAGACGAGACCGGGAAGGAAAGCAAGGGGGAGGTGTAGCAATTTATTGGCGCGAAAGTTTAAATTTTATCGAGCAAGAAGACCTCATGAATGCAAATGAGTCTGTCTGGATTAAAATAAACCGAACAAGGTGCAAGCCACTCATCATCGACAATGTCTACAGACCCCCAGATCAACCTGTTGATATCTTTTTGGATAATCTAAATGATTCTCTGTCTAGAATTGATTCTACTAATGATAAAGTTCTTCTGGGAGATTTCAACATTGATTTCTCTGTCCAACAGAAAAATGCAAATTTTTCGCTGAAACGAAGACTCCGGGGAATTACAGAGGCTTTTGACCTAAAACAATTGATAAAGGAACCAACACGCGTCACCGAACATTCTGAGACGCTAATTGACCTAGTGTTTACAAACGCCAACCACAAAGTCTGGAGTTTTTGATCTCGGACTTAGTGATCACTCGCTTGTTTACTGTGTCCTTAAATCCGGTCGTCCCCGAGTTGCTCGAATCTATCGAATATCGTTCATACAAGAACTACAACAAAGACTCTTTCAATGAAGATCTTGAGAATATTCCCTGGCATGTCGTTTTCAATAACACCGACAACCTGGACGACTGTGTTAATACATGGAATAAGCTGTTCTTGGACGTTGTTGAAGCCCACGCACCAACTAAAACCCGAAGAGTCAGAGGATCGTCAACCCCGTGGATGACCTCAATCATCGCTAATGAAATGAGAAAGCGCGATTATCATCTCAAGAAAGCAAAAGGAAACAAGAACAGTCGAAATTGACGCGTTTACCGACTACTAAGAAACTGAGTAAACAGAGACATTAAGAAAGCTAAATCAGACTATTATTCCAGTCTGATTCAAGAAAACCAAGGAAATGCTAAAGGGTTTTGGAAAGCACTCAAAAAGACTCTACCATCGTCAAAGATCTCCACAAATATCTCTAGTGTACGAGTAGATGACGCAGTTGTCACCTCTGACGAGTCAATTGCCACTGCTTTGAACACCTTCTTTGTAAGTATTGGTAGAAAACCTGCCGGAAAATTTCCGGAACTGTCGTTCTCTAACCAGCCCGAGGTCAATCCTAATATAACTGGTTCCGGGTTTTCTTTCCGGCTGATATCTGAAAGTTTTGTCAGGGAAGCTATCAAGCGTTTAAAACCCAATAAGGCTACTGGGTTAGATAACAGGAACTTCCTTCTGTTTGTAAAACCGCGAGGGTCATACCCCTTTTTTAGAAAGGTGACAAACAGGACGCGTCCAACTACAGGACAATCTCAGTACTGCCAACGTTAAGTAAGATCTTAGAAACTGCTGTTCGCACTCAATTCTATGGCTACCTAACAGAAAATAACCTAATCTCGTCAAAACAGTTGGTTTTCGACTGAAATCCTCGACGGTCACAGCTTCTGCACAGTTTATTGACCAGTTACTCCTCGGCATGGACAACGGCACTGTTACAGGGACCGTCTTTTTAGATCTGACAAAGGCGTTCGACACCGTGAATCACTCCATCCTGCTACGTAAACTGTCTCGCTTTGGTCTGGATGATACAGCGCAGAACTGGTTTGATTCTTTCCTTTCCAACAGAAACCAAGTTACTTGCTGTGGCAGAGCTCAATCTGACCCAGACACAGTATCTGTCGGAGTTGCCCAAGGCTCAATCTTGAGCCCGCTATTGTTTATAATTTATATGAATGACTTACCAAACGTCCTCGAATTTTGTAACATTACTTTGTACGCTGATGACACCGTTTTATAGTTTTCCTCCAAACTTATTTCAGAAATCGAAACTAAGATGAACTCGGACCTCAGACAAGTATGTGATTGGTTGAAACTTAATCAACTTACTCTTAACATCAAGAAATCCCAATTTATGCTAATAGGTAGTAACTCGAGACTACGTAGAATCGATTCCATTGTTATTTCAGCCGATGGTAAGCAACTTAAGGAAGCAGAATGCTTTCCCTACTTAGGATTAATTATCAATCAGAATCTTACTTGGGAGGATCATTTTGAACACATGCGTAATAAGATAAACAACAAGCTAGGCCTTTTGCGGCGCATTAAGTCGTGTCTCCCACTAAGCGCTAGGATAACTTTCTTTAATTCTTTTGTTTTGCCCCTTTTTGACTACGGCGATATATTATGGGGAGACCGGGGCAACACTACACTTATGACAGAGCTACAGATCCTTCACAATAAGGCTTCGCGAATCATTTTAGATCTTCCCCTACTGCTTCCGCGAGCGATGCACTTTCAAGGCTCCATTGGAAACCTCTAGAAAGGCGGAGAGCCGAGCATCGTGCTATTTTCATGTTTAAGGTAGTTAATAACCTTTTTATGCACACTTATAAACTGCTGTTTTAACAGTAAGTATCATAACTATAATACACGATCAAAGCAAAATATCTGCAAATCATTCGCACACAGAAGATGGGGGCACTGGATAACAATAAATTTTGCAGCGGACGTTTGGAATGCCTTACCCCTTTCCATAAGAGATGTGCCCACCTTAAGCCAATTTAAGCGTGGTATCAAAAAAGCACTATTTTAATTAGTTTCGTTTTTAGCATGTTAATTTTTAAATGATGTAGTTTTATCTTCATATTTTTCGATTTGTATTCTTTTTCTTTTTATTTTTAAGTAGTTATATTATATTTAGTTACTTTTAGAGGACCACTCTGTAAACCACTTTTTAGTGATGTTGTCATCCTCAATAAAGATTAGCTATTATTATATAAAGTTGTAGCACATTTTGATTTTGTTGTGTTGATATATGAATTGGGCAAAATGCAAATAATCATGAAAACACTTATGCTTCCAATGGTGTTTATAATTCATTTGTAGTTTTAATACTTCTACCCTTCTTTTTCACTTTGTTTTGTTTTTCCTATATTTGCAATATAAGTGCACTATAATTTGAATGATTAACACAGTTTTCACCTCAATAATAAATTTCATAAGCAGTTGGTAGTGCATTTTGTTCTCTGAGTATCCACATCTGGTGTTTTGTTCATACAAGAATGATGAAGTGCAAGTAGATATGTCATAGCAAGGCAATAAAACCAAATGAATTACATATCTATAGTGTACTTTTATGCTAGAAGCTTAAAAGCTTTTTAGAAATTATAAAGTTATTGGATTATATTACCTCTATATCTGTTAACGAGTGATAACTTTCCCGCGTAAAGTTTACTAACAGCTCATTGATTGGGTAATGATGTAATTTAATTATGTTAATTGTTAGAGGTGAGATGAGCACATTGGCATTGTTGATTTTGAGATGTAGAAGCACATATATTTTACTTTTATATATTATTCATTAAACGTTTCAAAATATTTCGCTTTCGCTTGCTCGGTGGGTGAATGTTTAATAATATCATCAATCTCATGAAAAGAAATAAGAAGCAAAAAACTTGTAGAAAAGCTTTGAAAAGGAAAACCTTTTTTCAAAAAGCAGCAATAATGCATATGGTAAATCTCCTTTCTGTAAGTAAGCTCAAACTGTTTCTTAAAGAAATATAAGAAATATATAAGACATATACAGTACAGTAACTTTAAAGGTTTCATCACTGAATCTTTAATGCTTCAGTATAGTGCATTAGATATTAGTAACATTTAAACAACACTCAACTAAAATATTTTGATAAACATATGACATGATTTAAACATTAAGTTATATAAAACCCAATGGCTTATACAGTTTGAAGCTTCACATCTGCATCGAGTCATCATCAATCTCAGTACAAATGTTTACATAGACACAAACTTTATGGCCTTCCCATTTTACATGTTTGTGAATTGACATTTCATTAAGCATCAAAACATACACACAACTTTCTTGCCATCTTTCTTTGGTTCATGAACTTTAACTTCAAAGCATTCAAGGCATCATTAGTGAATCCATTGTCTCTATCCATATAATTTGACCATGATCAAATTAAATAACTCTGGATAGAGAAGAAAATAAATCAATTACCTTTACAGCATTACCATTTTTTTATGACTCTGCCAGGTCAATAACATCTTCCAGTCATCTTTACTCCTTGATCTTCCCTGCATGTTGTCAGCAAATAGAACATAACAAGCTCTGTTCCAAATCATGGGTACTGTTTGGGCTGATCATTTCTTTTTGATACTTACTCACAGAGCAAAATGTGTGCAGGGCCTTTTTTGCTTAGGGAAACTATTTTGCAAATAGATGGGTAAATTTACGATTTCATGCATTAACAAATGACAGAAAAGTATGCAGAATTTTATAAACAAAACATGAAACATCAGTATATTTGGCGTTCAAGTCAGTCTTAAAAAATACGATCTTTTATATTTTATGGCTTTTCAAGTGCATGTATAATTGCTTGTCAATCGTTGACGGACTACCAAAACAAGCAACTATCTCACCTGTGAGAAGCGATATGTTCCTTTTTGTGGAAACTACGACATCCAACAATTGAACGATTGAAGTGTTGGCATTATAAAAGAAATGCCAAAAAAGACATCGTCACAGAATATGGAACTAACGATATCCATATTCTGTGATATCGTGTTTGTTTTTGAAAAATTGTTTATAATTTACTATAGACACCAGAGGGAAGTCGAGAATATTATTTTTCTGCAAAGCGATCATTTCAGCGGAAATACGTCCGTTGGCCGCCATTTTTGGCGACCTCGCCCCAGTAGTTAGCCGCTCCAGTTATTATAGAAGTCAATGGGCACAACTGTATATATGAATATACACCCTCCCAAATAACGTTCTAGTTACGCCTCTGACTGGATGTTTTCAAAATTGCACGAGAACCATGCTATTACTTATTAATAATATACATGAAAAACTTCTCATGTTTGTAAATGATGATCGTCCAGGTTAATAAAGTCCTGAGAAGGACTGTTTTTGTTGTTGTTGACTGACGTTTCGACAACCTAAGCGGTAGTCATGTTCAGAATCAAATGAGGAGTAAACGTCAGGTTAGCCGTATTTGTTATCTGGTTCTTACGCCTGCTGGTTGATTTGACAATCTGAATAGCCTCTTGTGTGTTCAAACCCTCATTACAAACACGACGGACGTACTGCCATTACCGACAGAAGACATTATGGAGCTACTGGAGCTTACCTCACCTCGACTTACTTCCAATACAAAGGAACACACTACAAATAATTACGTCATTGTATTGTGTGTACAGGAAATGTGTATTGTCATTGTGAATTAGTGTGAAGTGAAATATTTTATTTTTAGTTGTGATGTGTGATTTAGGTGTGATGTTTTTAGTTGTAATGTGTGGGTGTCAATTGTGTATTGTCATTGTGAATTAGTGTGAAGTGTAATGTTTTTAGTTGATCGTTTGTTTGTATTGTGAATAAGTCGTTTGTAAGGTTCCGGTAATTGCTGTGATCTGTTCAGGGGGCTTTGTTCCAAGTTGGTATACCAACTTTCTAATGTAAGCCGTAGTAGTCGGTCAGTATGTGTTGGCTTGCGATAAATTGTTGTTCGTAGTTTTTCATTGTCATGTTTTACCAAACAGTCGAGAAGAGGAAGAGTTCCGTTTTCTTCGACATCTTTGGTAAATTGTATGTGGCTGTTCTATTTGTTGATGTAAGTATGAAGGTCATCAATCTCGTCTGCATGTAGTGCTGTGATTGTGTCATCTACGTAGCGAAACCAAAAAGGTAGTGCATGTTTGTAAGTCGTGAGCGCCCGTTCCTCTATAGATTGCATTACAATTTCAGCAACTACAACAGAAATGGGCGAGCCCATTGCTGTCCCATGTAATTGTTTGTAGTGTGTTCCTTTGTATTGGAAGTAAGTCGAGGTGAGGCAGAGCTCCAGTAGCTCCATAATGTCTTCTGTCGGTAATGGCAGTACGTCCGTCGTGTTTGTAATGAGGGTTTGAACACACAAGAGGCTATTCAGATTGTCAAATCAACCAGCAGGCGTAAGAACCAGATAACAAATACGGCTAACCTGACGTTTACTCCTCATTTGACTCTGAAGATGACTACCGCTAAGGTTGTCGAAACGTCAGTCAACAACAACAAAAACAGTCCTTCTCAGGACTTTATTAACCTGGACGACCATCATTTACAAACATGTAAAGATACTCCCGGGTTCAAACCATTTACTTTAAAAACTTCTCAATTCTGTTGACTTTTAACTTCAGCGTACGTACATTTCAGCCGGCAAGTTATTAATATCGACCGTCTTGTATATTTCAATTCCGTCGGATATTACTTTTCACGACACCATAGCTTACACACACACCGCTAGAACAAGGTATCTACTTTTAGCAATGTTCATATTTGCATTCTGAAACATCTATAAAATGGTGACCTGCAAACTAGTTCACCAAAAGAAAATCTACTTAAAACTTACACCAGACGTTGTAATTGCTTTGTTAACATCAATTTAACTTTCCCGCTTTTGTATTTTGATTGACTCTTCGATCACTTCTTTGTTTGAGTAAGCAATCAGGAGCACATTTTTCGAAAATAAATTGCACCGGTGTTTCGCTTTTTCTGCACTGTTGTTTCGTTTTTTTGCACTGGTGTTACGTTAAATTGCTCTGTTCTTAACCAATCAGAATTGAGAAATTTTTCCATGTATATTATTAATACTGGAACATACTGCAATATCATACAATTGGAGAAGATACAAAAACAAAATTACATAATACACATTTCTTGTAAATAATTAGCTACTTATTTTTTACAAATCTGCTTTATTTGGGATAAAATTAAAATCCAGTTCTCGATATTTCATTCAAAAGACATACCTAGATTGTATTTTGTATTTTATAATAAATACTTATTAGTTCTTATTCAAAAAATATGCAAGGATATGCCTGCCCATTTGTAGCAATATTCAATCTCATAAAATATATTTTCAGTTCAGTGTAAAATATATACATAAGTTTAATAAAGTCGGGCAATATTCGTGCAATTTAATCTTTTAATGTTCATGCAATCCAATTATTACAATATTTATGCAATCCAATCCTTACAATATTCATTCAATCTAATCCTTATAGTATTTATGCAATCCAATCCTTAAAATATTCATGCAATCCAGTCTTTACGCAATTCAACCATACAATATTTATGCAATCTTTATAACACCTACATGAATTCGTTGAGACATCCCATCATCGCCATGTGATATTTGGCGATATTATAAAATTTTACTTATGAATATTGCCACTCACGATTTGCTTTTGCTTGATCATATATTGTCCCTGAATTTGAAAAACAATGGATAAAACAATATCTGATATTGCTATTAAGCTAAAAGTACGGTGGCCGGTACCAGAGCCCACTATTCGTAAGAGTTAGGACAAACGGTCTGGGGCAAGTGCGGTGCCGCCATTTTGGTTCCTACTACAAAATGAAACTATAATAATAATAAAGTAAATGGTTTGAGTCATTTATCAATTTCGTAATTTCGACGTAAAAGCATTTTTTTCATTTTTTTCGTATTCATTGATTTGGCGATATGTAGTGACATTTAGTCGCCGTCAACGATCAAATATTACACACTTATCAATAACAAAACGTAATATTATCTCAAAATACTATATCTCTAGCAGTAATCGCCATATAAACACTACCTGTAATTTCAAAACTAGCAACCAAAATGGCGGAAATTGATCAGATGATCAATATTGTCCAATCGACGTAAGCATAACGGAGAACAATAGATGTCACAACTCTTACAAATAGATGGCTCTGGCCGGTACTGGTCACCAGAAAAATAATTTCAAAAACATAACAAAGAATAAGAAAACATCACTCAAAATACTCACTACACATTTCAAAATACTCAATACACACTCGTCCCAGTCTTACCCTGGTCTGGCCTGGCCAGTGAACCTGGCCCACAGTCGTCATTAGTTTCCATATACGAAATTGACGTGGCGTCGGAAAGCTAATACAAGTATACGCTTCCGAATTTCACATAGACAAAAAAAGTCAAACATATCGCCACAATAGCATCAAAATATGCGATACGCGTACATGAACTATTAGCAATATTTCTTCCAGGGATTTCTTGGTCTTGGTTAGACAACACAACATGAGTGGTCAATGTACAGATTGCATGTAATTGTATTTGTATTGGTTATATTCGACAGTCATTAGTTTAACTAATGCACTAATTGACGTGACTGGTACTGAAGGTCTAAATTTATTGTTTTTACTCGAAATTACAGAACTTTTCATTTTCTTTGGCGTTTCTTGTGCAACAAATTATAGCGCTATGCGCAAATTTTTTCTTTGGTTTCCTTGTTATTTCTGTAACGCATCACACAAGTACGTACGCGACATAGCGAATGTAAATTCATATACTTAAATTTTTGCTATTAAAGTACGGACATGTGTCGGAAGCCACTGCAAATACATTTGCTTGCGATATGTAGATCGTCTACTAATGTTGTTGCCCGACCAAGACCAGCAAAACCCTGGACGAATTTCTAATTATAGTTCAGCCAATATTTTCAAGCTATTATCCAAATGTCGCAATTTGTTTGTCTTCTGAAATGCGGATTATATATTTAATATGCTTACTTTATTATGTCACGTCAGTTTCGTAGATGGAAACTAATGCCGACCTTGGCCCACACGGGGAATGCTATAACCCGGGCGATGATCGGGGACGCGCCTATTAAATTCCTGGTCAGCGGCAAAAGCCTTGACATAATAATCGCTATAAGTACAATATGTTTTTTGTATAAAATTTCATAACACAAATCAACACAAAGTATAGAGCACAGCGCCCACATTGGCTTTTACAAAATATGCGGTCTTTTTTATAACGAATGTTACTGCAAACGCGCATTGTGAAGTATGTTATTCTTTGTTATTGAGCTTGCTTGTAATATGTTCTATAAGATATTGATGATGCTCAAAAGTATTCTAATCGGTAAGTCTTTTTTATTCGGCACTTTTAAATCTTACAATTTATGTTTTGTATTATTATACGATTGTCATGTCTGATTATGGGCAAGCAAAGTACTCTGTCAGAGTTTGTCCAAAGTCAACATTCAAACAACTTGCATGAAAGTACTGCCCACATGAATCACATCCCAACCAGTCTTCACCATCATCTATCTTGCAAATCTTGCATACCAAACTATTTCTCCTAATAAAATAAATTTTACACATTTTACTTATGGTATAGTAAACAAGCACACAATTTATAACATTACAAATGTCAGATTGATTTTATGGATAATTCCAACAAATAAATCACGACTTTAATGTTTTTGTCTAGTTTTATGTTTTTGTCTAGTTTAATGTTTTTGTCAATTAAATAAAATCTATAATTTGCCCCTTTTATTAAAATATTTAAAAAAATATAATTTTTTTGTTATTACTCATAAATGTCATCATAGCAAGAACCCATAATCATTGAAGTCACGTGCTGCCTCACTTTTCTCATGTCAAACTTTGAATTTATGTCAAGATTTTGACTCAGATATTCAGCAAACTGAAATGATAAAAATAAAAGAGATTTTTTTTAAATTGTTATTTCTTAGAACATAATGTCAAAACAACTACCAGGCAAATAATTATTCCACAGTTAAACCCATCCTCTTGCACATAGTGTGAAGGCTGAATAATAGACCAAGTTGATGTGTTCCACCCACTTTTTAGATCAACAAGGGCACTTTATAAACAAAGGGATTATATTATCAACTGCACTATATCAATGTTGCTGTGTGTATTCAAGACATTGAAGTGATTCATTGAATTGGAATTTCAAATACTGGTATTTGTCAAGGAAGTAATGTATGTATACTTACCAAATGCTTTTGATAAACTGTGAAAGTTCAACTCTTGTTGCTTCACTGATAACTTCTTCTACATGACCTTCCATAGGATCAAGGTAGTATACCATCTCTTTTTGTTTGTCGATTACCTTTAAAAGTGACAATATTGAAAATAATAAAAATTTGTTGCCTTGTCTTAGCTATGTTGCATCCATATTGTATTTACCAAAAGTGTCCAATGGCTCCCAGACATATTGAGAGGAAATATTATTGTGTCAATTGCCATGAAATTTTGATCTGCCCACAGTCGACGTGTACTAGATCCTCGTTGCACCAACTGACATACATATGATTCTGCTGGTAGGACACCAGGATATTCACATGAAAGTTTCCATAAGAAAGCGTTGATAACCTATAACAATCAGGCTCAATTACCATTTCATCATTTGTCTCTGATGCATGATAATCATATGTAAGCTGTAGAGTGTTTAATCACTTGACTTACTGTATCACTAAGCCATCCAGGTGCCACAGTTTTATTTTCAATTAGTGTGGCAGCATATTTAGTCATCTCATTTGGTGGAATGAGGGTCCATAAATCCTGAAGAGTCACTTTGTTTGGTCCAAATTCTAGCATTTGATCACCTAACTTAATTCCATTTAGAGAGGCATTCAGTAAGGGATCCAGTGGATTTGCCTTGTGCTCAGCTGAGACGTCAACACTACAGTTGCCATTTAGGAAAAGAAAAGTGGACTATGTGTAATGGTATAGTCCTCACTCATATTAAATAATTACTACATAGTAAATATAAATACTACACTGAAATGTTACTACCCCCCTCTCATCATTGCACAAATATTTTTGGAAAATTTTTCTCCATTCAATATTTCTCTATTGCTATATGTTTGTACCTGCTTGAATTTCTTTTTTCATTCTCCTGGTTTTGCACATTAGTGGACACCTATGGAAATAAAAAGACTACTTTCAGAAAATACTCGTGACGAGATGTAATCTAAAGAATTACGAACAACTTTTTCAAACGTTGTTTTTGAGTATGGCAAAAATGAGTGCGATTTAGAAGACAAAAACCCACAATTTGGTGATGCCCTTCGTATCGTATATCTAATGGCTGGTGAAAATTACTTTTGAAACAATACTTTAATAAGATATTGGAAAGTAAGATAAGTGCTTTTGTCTTTTTACTCTTTTCGGACGGATAAGAAATTTTTTAAACATAAAAGTAATAATTTGAGAGAAGCTTTTTTAAGAAATGACAAGAAAGCAATTCAATAACTTGTCTTACTTGTGCCATTTCATCGCCCACATTAGTAAGATCTATTGTAAATGGTGTAGATTTTTTTGTCTTGCGTCGTCTGGGAGGTAGGGCCTTATGAAAGATTTGATGGTATTTTGTCTCGGTAACCTTTAATTTTTTTTTCACAGGACTCAATCGAAGAGGCAAACCATTTTCTGTGGGAAAGTTTTGTTCAAAAAACTGTTTCAAGCTTTCAGCTTTTTGCACTGCTTCTTGTAGAGTGGTCTCGTTGTCGATCAGGAAGGTCATACTGTGTATTTGGCCCAGTTGTTCTTGCAAGATCTTTCTGAGCCTTTTGGAACTTTTGTTTGAAGTAGTTTCAAACTTAACTGTTTCTTCGTGGGGTATGTCGTGGATATATTTTTTGTTATCAGAAGACAACGATTCTTGCAAAACAACGTCTCTTTTGATGGTGCTCCATGATGACGCATTGGCTTCCTCAAGTTCTTCTGGCGTAGTATCTTGTGGCAATCCAAGAGGTTCATTGTCGAGAGTGAAGAAAACGCTATTTCGGTAGTGTTCTGGAAGACTTTCGAAATCCCACTCGTCATAGAAAGAAAAAACTGCGAAAAAATGTTTGCAAGGGAAATGGGTAGTGTGCCATATGTTGCAGGTACAACTTGGTTCTCGGAAGTCTGTAAAATATTTCTTTCCAACATTGCTCTCGCTCTTGACATTGAACGTGCCCTTCTTTAAATTAACCGGATTTATGTCGTCCTGTTTGAAAATGGCTGAAGCGTATCGATTTTTAAGGCAACATTTCAAAAAGTGTGGAGGTCTGTTGTGCAAGTATTCTGGGATTGATGGGTTGTACTTGCAGTAGGCGCTGCTCAGTCGCAGGTTTGCATCCAAATAGTGCTGAAGAACATCGGGAATGAAAGATTCAACCAACATCACCGCAATACCATACACAGATTTGTCAATACTTTGGGGTAAGTATTCGTATTTAAAGACTCTGTTTTGAGCCTCAACGCCATTGTTAGTATTAACAATGTTGGTGACTTGCTGTTTTCGAAAAGCGTGTGCCCATCTGACAGCGCAAGAAAACCACGTACGGTCAACATATTCTCTCATCTTGCTGCATTCTTTATACACTTTGGACTCTCGAAAATCTTTTACTGCCTTGTCGTACTCCTGTTTGGTACTGACATTAGCAATCTTTTCATTTGCAGAAGGAAGTGTTGTTGCTGTTCATATGACAATCCATTCTTGCTTGCTGAAGCCCACCGTTTTAGCGCTTGCAACCTGTGAAAGTCGCAAACATAAACCTGTACATCGGGAAAACTTTTTTCTATCGCGCCTATTTCTGCTAATGAGTAATCCACCATAAAATATTTTGGGTTCCATACTGGATTCCATCCTTTTATAATAGCCAGAGCCTCTTCTATGGCTTCTTCGGTCTCTGTCTGGCACATAAATTCAGCCACAACTTTGTAGCCAACGTTTGAATGAACGCACACAAAGAAAAGCGGTATTGCGTACTTTGTTGTTTTGTATGTGGTGTCCATGAGACACAATTGTCCGCCATAACGAATCAACATTCGTTGTTGCCAATGCTCTTGATGCACAAACAAAAACTTTTTATCGTCCTTTGGAGGAATATCGTTTCTGGAAGCGTTATCTCTTGTGCGGTAGAAAAACTTGCTGCTTGGAGAATTCTGTTTCCAGGTTTCTACCTTCCTGCGCAGGGACTCTTGTTCGTCTTTGCAGTCCTTAAGGGACTCTATTGCTTTTGCTACGTGGTTTCGAATATCCTTTTTATTTGGATAGTACCGTTTATTTGTCCTGCGCGGTGTAGCCTTTTGTCCGTCTTGTGGAAATAAAGTCTCTTCAACGTATTGATCAAGACACCTTTTGACTTCTGAGGTTTTAATTACATTGCGTTTTACCAAACTATAAACTTTCGTGACCAGTCGGTAATCCATTCGCTGCCCAACTGTTGCCGTGGCACCAATGGCGTGACTTGAATGAGCACTACTAAGAGGTATTTTTAGTTAAAATCGACTGCTGGCGCGAAGCTGTGAGGAGGAATCGTTATCCATTTTTTCCTTAATCTCTCTAAATACTCTCCGTTTTGCCATAACCAAGCTGTTTTCTGATGTAAATTGTTCTCGATCGATGTAGTAGTCGAGAAATACTCTGACTTGTCTTATTTGCACTTGTGCTGGACAATCCAGTTTTCTACTGTTCTGTAATCGAATCCGTCCCTTTTCTTCATAATCATGGTCACTTTTTACGTCGTGTCTGCGAGTGCCTCTGCTGTCCTGAGAAGTTTGTTAAAATAAAACAGTGTGGTGTCAAGACAAATTGTGCACAAATAAATCTTAAATATCTTAACGAAGAATACATACTTTCGCGCTCCCATGTAAACAATGTCTTGTTTCGTTGCTCACAATCAAAAACGGATTTCCAAAAACTCAATTGGAATATTTCCCTTCTTGCTTTCAAACACTGGCGGTGCTAGAAAAATAAATGATATGTTTTTTCAGCATTTTGTTTGTCTTCAAGTAAAACATTCTTATTATGCTAAGCTATGCAGATGTGTTAGATAATAAAATGTATTTAAAAGAGATAGCAAAATAATTGGCGAGTCATTGAACGGTTTTTTCCTAATGAGTTTTTTGCTAATATAGATAGAAATGACTGTTAGATTCGATTCTTCTAACTCCATAATGGAATGTCTTTGCGACTATAAAATGTTAATTGGTCGTGCAATATTAAAGAAGGGGGGGGGGGAATGTAGCAGGCTTGGCTGCCCAGTTTATGCGTCGGTTGAAAATTTCTTGGTGTTTTCTCGCTTTAATTTGGGGTAAGATGCTTGATGCGGTTGAGTTGATTACCTGTAAGTGAAAAACGTTTATTGCCCCTTGTTTTTGAGTGGTTGTCAGCTTTCACAAACGAGATAGAATCAATTACCTAAATTCAAAAACCTCTTTCACTTTTCAAATATATTAACGCGTGAAATCAATTTATCAAGGTTTACGTATTACGGCCTTTGAAAGTTAACTGTTCAACAATTACAAAAACCTTTTCAAGCCGACAATTTGAAGAAATAAATTATAAAACATACTTCAAAAAACATGATCTTGTAAACTTAGCTATATTAGCTTTATAATGACTATGAAATAATGTCAAAATATTGCTTTTAGATTTTGTTTCTTGCTATTAACTGAAATTTTGAGTTAACATGATGATGTTTTTCGGAATATGTTACAAATTGTTTGCAGTATGGTGCAACAATTGAAAACAAACTACGAGACCTGAAACTGTTCAAGAAGTTCTTCCATTTGCTCCACCGTTCCATCAATGTATCCTGTGCAGTAATTTTCCAGAATTTGCACACTTGCGAGTTTCTCTAAGGAAGTTTACTTGTTTATTTGAGCATTCTGCAGATTCACGCTGAAGAATTGTCTGCGCCATATACTGAGTATGAAACACGAAATTTGTTCCTTAATATATTTTAGTCTGTTGAAATGTTTAAAGTGGTTATATCACGAATTTTAGCCCCCCTTTTTTATTAGCTAAATTGAAAGACCTTGTTTCAGTGATTTCAAATCTGCAATTATAATTGAAATTGGATTGGTGAAAGTGATTTTACGGACGTTCAAAGTCACGATTTTCAGCATTTTTTTTGCGAACTTTTTGATCGGTATGCTAATGACTTGTGACGTAGAAAGTTGAACACATATATCAACATGGCGTATTCTACTAGTAATCTTAATAAGAAACGCGGAGGAAAACGCTGTGTTGCTGGCGGACCTAATCAAATTAGTTGCGCCAATGATTCAAAAACCGAAGGAATGTCGATGCATCTGTTTCCTAAAAAAGAAACAGAGCCGCAAAGACATAGAAAATGGGTAAATTTTGTGCGTAAACATAGACCGGGTTTTGAGGCTTCCTCTACCTCGTGTCTGTGTTCTGCGCATTTTGAAGATTATTGTTTTGACCTTAATTTGAGCGTGTAAGTCAAGCTCAAAAGAAGGATGAAGAAAGATGCTATCCCAACCATTGACGTGGCTGGGATTCCTGAACCATTACAGGACGAAATAACCGATCGAAAGCGAAGACAAGTAAGTTTACGCTTGTTTATGTTAATTTTTTGTCATATGTAAATTCGATATAAGTTTTGTAGATTATTCGACATACTCTCCATAAGCCATCGCTGAAGGAAACATGTTCTCTCAATGAGGAAGTACCATCTACTAGTGATGAAGCTGAGCATGTTTAAGTACGCACTGGGGAAGCAAACGATTCGCCATTTGAACGGCTTGCTATTTTCCATTTTTACATTTATGCTATGATTTAATTCCATATATTTTTTCTTTTGTCTTTTTTCCCAGATTGACATTGAAGAAAAGATATTCTTTCATTTAATTCTTTCAGCTTAACCTCTCAGTAGTTGCACCAATTTGTTTTTATTGTTTACTCTTGTTTCAAACCATTAAACTGCATGTCAACTTATATAGTGCATCCATGTATCTCCTATTTGGTTTTCATCTAGGCATATTTCCTGACCATTCCAAACTCAGCAAAGAAGGTCAACAGTCTCTACAGTGCACAAGTTAGAAGACTATTCCATCATCGCCCCTCTGATGGTATGTAACCTGTTGTGTTACCACTTGGATATGCTTTCCGAATAAAGTGGTAAACACAAGCAGGTAAAGGCCAGTATTCTCCCATCCCATAGACCCACAAAACCATCGCATCAACCATCTGTATGCCACAGCTCTCAAGTACCTGAAGTAAATAAAAGGTTGGACTAATTATTGTTGATGAAACAATGTTGATTATAACATTGTTTCTCATACAATTACAATCTTACATATTTAATGATTGTGATGCTTGGCGGCGATAAGCACGTCCATTCCTATCTCTCAATAGTGGCCCGACGTTTTCAAGGACAGCCTCATGAACTAAAGGCCCAAATTTGGCATGCTGTGTTATGCATGATATTTTCTCAATGCTGCCATCGAATGTCATTTTCTGCAAAGCTGGTCCAATTTCCTTACAGCATCTGTACTCTAATGCGCCTTCTAACAAATCGGTATGACAGCATTGACAATTACACCTGAAACGTGGGAGCATTCTGGTTTATAAAGTAACGTTATGTATATTACAAACAGGAGAAAACAACAACTTACCATTCACCAAGTGGAATTACGCCATCACTTCGTTGTTCTAATGTCGCAGGGAGAATTCCATCGGGATCATCTGGAGTATGCACTTCATCACCATCTCCTGCTAGCGGTTCATCGTCATATGCGAAGTCGTTTAAATGCTCGACATAACCCACGGATTCCGAGCTCGAATCAGATACGCATTCAGACATCGAATTCGAATTATCTGAGCACTGATTTGAGGCCATACTTTCCGGACAACTTGTTTTTTAATATTTTATTGAAAATACTGTCATTATTTGTTTTTAAGACAAGAAAAACGGCAACAAAATCACCTTCTATAATATAATATTATATTGACGGAAACAGACGTGTTCAACTATCTACGTCACAAGTATCAATATGGCGTCGTAAAAAATTCGCAAATAGTACCCAACTTTGGAGGCAAAATTAAACAACTTATATTTATCTGTTTAAGTCCAGCGACATGTCATAGTTCTTCAAATAATCCAAATTTTCAATTAAGCTCATAAAAAAGGGGGGCTAAAATTCGTGATATAACCACTTTAATAATGAGCCAGAGCAAACACTCGAACGCTTATACGTCTTTATATGAATTTCATTCCACGAGCCAGTAATGTGCCCACTATTTTTTTCACTTTTGATGCGAGGTTTTTATATTTTTTCTTAGCTAGGTGGAGTTAAGGCGAGACCTATAAAGCACTTGAAAAACGCAAGTACCTATACGTAAGAATGAAAAGTGCGCGAATATTGAACATATAAATTAAGGATAGGCTATCTAGGTGCAGTTAAGGCGAGACCGATAAAGCACTTGAAAAAAGCAAGTACATATACGTAAGAATGAAAAGTGCGCGAATATTCAGCATAATGAGTATAGGCATTGAGGATAGGCCATTTCCTATGATCTAAGTAGTAGCTTCTAGATTTAATCTCATACGTAAATCTAACGTCACAATGCGCGTTTGAAGCAACATTTGTTATAAAAATGACGACAGGTTTTGAGCAGAATAATTAGGATTAGAATACTTTTGAGCATCATCAATATCTTATAAAACATATTACCAGCAAGCTCAATAACAAAGAATAATATACTTCACACTGCGCGTTTGCAGTAACATTCGTTATAAAAAAGACTGCATATTTTGTAAAAGCCAATGTGGGCGCTGTGCTGTATACTTTGTGTTGATTTGTGTTATGAAATTTTATACAAAAAACATATTGTACTTATAGCGATTATTATGTCAAGGCTTTTGCCGCTGACCAGGAATTTAATAGGCGCGTCCCCGATCATCGCCCGGGTTATAGCATTACCCAACCCACACAGGAAGAAGCATGTTTTGTCCGTTTTGTGGAAAGTAGTTGCTCGAATCGTATGCTTTTTGTGCAAATTGTGGCAAAAAAAATCAAACTATCTGGACTGCAAGGTTTATCAGAAAAAGGGCTTCATGAAAAGGAACGTGTTCCGGTTACTTTCAATTATTTAAAAAAAGAAAAGATGATGAAAGAGCGAAGCACTTCAGAACATCGACAAGTGGTAGTGGCTATAAAGGAAAAGCAAAAAGGGCAAAAAGCACTCATGGAGATCTTAATGAAACTGTTCGGATAAATGTCGGAATTATGCTTTATGATGGTAAAGAATTAAAGATTCAGCGTGGGAAATCTTTAGTTCTATCTATACAAAAATCTGCTAATGATGAAAGCTTATTATAGGCAGCTCTAAACAAAAATATAGCACATTCAGAAAATATAATTAAGCCTATGAAGAAGTATGTGATGCCTATACTCATATACATCAAAAGTAGCAAAGCTAAAAGAGAGTGAGGAAGATTTTGTTTTGCATAAATACAAGGAAGAATGTAAAAAGCCATATCACAGAATTAATTTCTTCCTTTGCCCTGACATTGACTATTCTCTATCAAAGTTAAAAGGATGCTTGAGAGATGATAACAGTAGCAGTGATCACACAGATGATGTTGAAGTAAGTAAAGAACAGTCTTCCAAGTTAAACAACAACCATAGTGGTCGTGAAAATAAGTCAGTACCCATCCTAGAGAATGATGAACAGTATTTGAAGGATGATGTCAGTAGCAGTAACAATATTGAGGATGTTGAAAAATCTTCAACAGTAACCAAAAACCATAGTAATGGTGAAATGTGCCTATAACATACAGTCATGATATGCTAGCAATGAAGTCACCACCTATACCAATATATGATAATCAGCATGGGGGTCAAAAATTAAACAGTTTGACTTATGGTACTTTAAGAGAAATGTTTCCACAAATAAATGATCAAATTATACTAGAGGCTTTGCATAACAGTGACAATGATTTTGAAGTGGCTGTAGCTTATATTCTTGAACTACGAAATCAGGACACAATTCCACATCGAGTGTATGCTTCATTTGGATTCTGTAATAACATTGATGATGATATAGATTTTCAAGATAATGAAGCATCTCTACCTGGTAACAAGGAGGTTACAAAACCTGAGGAAAGGCAAGAAAGCATAACTACTGAGAAGTCTCTTTCTAGCATTATCAAGAAAGTTTCAAAAGATAAGATAACAATTGATTCAACTATTAGGATCAAGGTATGTTTTTCACCGTGTACCCAATTCATTTAACTTATTAAAATATTGTATGCCCGTTTATTGAACCTTATTTGATAATTTTTATCGCAAGATGTTGAGCTTTAATGTGTTAAATCAATGCATGAATTTTATTTGACCAGAATAGTCTCAGATATGAATATTAATTGTGATAGAAAGTTAATTATGTCTTAAAATTTAATATGACAGTTTCTTCTTTAATACATCATTATGCAATTGAAAGTTTAGGTTGAAATATGTTCAAAAACCCATTTATTGTGTGCAGTAGTGCTTATCTAACATGTGTGAATTGCTTCCATCTTCATCAAGTTCATTGTTTTTTAAATGAAGTAATTGAAATTCTTTTAAGAATTCTCTTGTAAGAGGAGTGAAATATGGAGAAACTCAACTCAGAACTATTTTGTCACATTTAAAAATTTTGTTATCCCCTTTTGAGCTAGCTTTGCATTTTTACATCACTAAAAACCCATTAGTTGTTGATTAAAACAAGATTGAAGAATGTTTTGGTGATCGATTAAACATTGTTATTTATACCAATCTTCAAAATTCATTTTTTCTGCCTTGGCATTATTCAAGAGTGTGTCACATTAGAGTGAAAAAAT